ACTAACCCCTGTTTAGAGGTGAACATCTTCTCTAGCTCTATTTCCCAGTGACACAGGCATCTATCCTTCAAACGCTGTAGTAGTAGGGCACCCTCTGGTGGTTGAAAAGAATAATCTCCCTGGCATAATCTAAATTATCAATTTGCATAAAAAAATAAGGAAGGAAGAATGATCAAGCAGAATTTGCAGAGACAACTGTTTATGGTATTTATTGGTGTATTGCATTTGCACCCCACCTTTCCCCCACCCCAATAAGCTAAAGATGGCGTACGTAGTTATCCTTGTCCCCATTTCATCCTCGCAACAGCCCTGTGAGGTAAGTTAGGATGAGAGTCCCATGGCTGAGTGGGGGATTCGAACCCTGGTCTCGCAGTCCTGGTCTTAAACTTTAGCCACTAGTTCACCACTGGCTAAAATGTATTGAGAAAAACCATTTCATGCATGGGCACATTGGGTGGTGCGTGAAGAGTGCAGGGTTAACTTTGCTTCTCCTCCTTGCCTCCTTCGCATATACAGACAATTAAGATTAGGCAGAGTGTCAGATGTTGTGGGGCAGGGAGTCATGGCAAGATATTAGAGGACGGAAATGAATTTGTCATGTGCCCCGTAAACCCTGTGCCCCATAAGCGATCCTGCTGCTCTCAGGTGCCAGGAAAGAAGGCAATGATCCCATTACCAGTGTTCAGGCAAGGTTCAGATGCCTGCCTGGAATGTGTTGGGGACGCAATCATGTCCTTTGCCTCAGATGGCAAACTGTTCTGGGCTGGTCTTTGGTTTGATATTATTGTCACAGTGACCTTGCAGAGGCAATTAAGTTGTGAGGCAATACATGCATGTGGTTTGATTTTGCAACACTCACTAAATTGAATGAATCCTGACCAGTTTTGCTCAAATCTGTTATATGATTGTACAGTGGTACCTTGGGTTACAGACGCTTCAGGTTACAGACGCTTCAGGTTACAGACTCCGCTAACCCAGAAATAGTACCTCGGATTAAGAACTTTGCTTCAGGATGAGAACAGAAATCGTGCAGTAGCGGCACAGCAGGAGCGGGAGGCCCCATTAGCTAAAGTGATGCTTCAGGTTAAGAACAGTTTCAGGTTAAGAATGGACCTCCAGAATGAATTAAGTTCTTAAACCAAGTGTCTGGAGGCGGTTGGAGGATGGATGGCGGCTAACAGATTGAGGTTGAATCCTGACAAGACAGATGTACTGTTTTGGGGGGACAGGAGGTGGGCAGGTAGAATCATAGAATCATAGAGTTGGAAGAGACCACAAGGGCCATCGAGGTGTGGAGGATTCCCTGGTCCTGAATGGGGTAACTGTGCCCCTGAAGGACCAGATGTGCAGCCTGGGAGTCATTTTGGACTCACAGCTGTCTATGGAGGCACAGGTCAAATCTGTGTCCAGGGTAGCTGTTTACCAGCTCCATCTGGTATGCAGGCTGAGACCCTACCTGCCTGTGGACTGCCTCACCAGAGTGGTGCATGCTCTGGTTATATCCCGCTTGGACTACTGCAATGCACTCTACGTGGGGCTACCTTTGAAGGTGACCCGGAAACTACAACTAATCCAGAATGCGGCAGCTAGACTGGTGACTGGTAGCGGCCGCTAAGACCATATAACACTGGTCTTGAAAGACCTACATTGGCTCCCAGTACGTTTCCGAGCACAATTCAAAATGTTGGTGCTGACCTTTAAAGCCCTAAACGGCCTCGGTCCAGTATATCTGAAGGAGCGTCTCCACCACCATCGTTCTACCCGTGGCTCTTGCGGAAGGAAAGCCAGTAGGATTGCTTTCGCAGAAGCCAGGAGGGCAAGAGGGATCGGTGCACACCGATCCTGCTTGCTCTCCTGGCTTCAGGGATAGCCCTGCAGAGCCTCCTGAGCTCTTAGCTCAGGATGCTTTGAGTTGCTTTCTTATTTCTTGTTTTCCTCCCCCAAAAACTAGGTGCATCTTATCGCCCGGTGCGTCTAATAGAGCGAAAAACACGGTATATTATGGTACTGGTTTTTTTCTATTTTTGATTTGTATAAATTTGAATAAACTTTTTTAAAAAAATAAAAGAAAAGAATAATTGAGAAGCAGTGAGCCTCCTAGCTGGCATTTGAACCTGGGATTCCCCACATTCAAGCCTAAGCAGCGAAAGACAAAAGAACCCCCTATTCTGCTCCCAGAACTACAATCCCCAGAATGGTTTTGCAACCAATCCCTCTCCACAGGGAATTGTAATCCTGGGAGTAGAAAATGGGCCTCCTAACAACTCTCAGCATCCTTTGCACACTCCATTTCCCAGGATTCTGTGGGGGGAGCCACGACTGTTTAAAGTGGTATCATGGTGTTTGAAATGTCTGGTGCAGGTGTCTTCTTAGATTCAGGCTTGAAGTCTTAGCATGCAAAGGCCAGTGGTGGACTTTTGGCTGCATCGTTCCTTCCAGGTTTAAACCTTCCACAGAACACCAGGTGAGAGCCAGTGGTGGCTAGAGTGTTGGACTGGGACCTGTGGCCTGGGAGAGGCCAAAGTTCAAATCCCCACTCAGCCATGAAGTTCACTGGGTAACCCTGGAGGCCAGTCTCTGCCCCTCAGCCTAACCTACTTCGGGGCTGTTGTTGAGATTAAATGAAGAGGGGAATAGCTCTGCCTTGAGCTCCTTGGACAAAAAAAGGTGGGATAAAAATGCAAGCAAGCAAGCAAGCAAGAAATGATCACTTGAAAAGGATTTAGTGTCTGTCTTTTGCACCAGGGTGGTGGAACTTGGGGTTCAAGTAGAAATGCAAACTAGATTCCTCCCCTGCTCTAGTAAGCCATAGCACAGTGCTGGTAGATGTGCGGCTTGGTGGGTTACGCAAGTTGTGCAGACCTGTTCAGCTACTATCACTCAGGGTCTCCCCCATATTGACAAGCAACTGTAGTGGAAATAAAAGTATTGTTATAAGTTGGAGAGCAAGTCTCCCCTAAAATCTCTGGATTCAGTGAAGTGGTTAGAATTTTTTAAGCAGACAGCATTATTCCTGGCCAGGAAATCGCCTGGGAATGTGCCCTTGTGAAAAAAAGGCAGAGTCATCAAACCCTCAAGAAAGCCACCAACAAGTCTGACTCTCTGTTAAATAGTGGGAAAGATGGACGAAGGATACAGCTCTGTTAGATTCACAGCTCTTTATTACAGCAGTTAGAACTGTTCCTGGAGTCTGACACACTGCAGCCTAGCTGGCTGCTTTATACTATACTAAGTAACTAGTAACAGTAACAACTCCCAACTAGCTAACCAATCAGTGAGCGACAGTTCTCAATCCTTCATTTGCATACTGGTGGCCCTGAGTGAGAACTGCAGTTAATCTTAATACATAACACCCCTCCCCCACCTAGATGAGGTGTTAGCCCCCCCCCAAAATCCTTAATTGTTACAACCATATACCATATAAGCTAGCCAGAGGTTTGATTAGAAGTACAGGTACATAATACTGTGCAATCCTTCAGGTAGGCTGGATGTATACGGGTCCAGAATGCCGAGGTACCACTGGAGAGGTAGCCAAGCTGCCAGGGCCCAATGGAGTGGCTCAGCACCGGTCGCTTTGTGTGGCAGGAACATGTTATAGAAGTTCAATAGACCTAAAAAGGCCTACAAGTACTTCTTGTTTTGTGGTTCGGGAACCTGTTGTATAGCTTTGACCTTTGCTTCCGTGGGGTGAATGCCGGAGCTGTTAAGGTATCCCAGGAACTCGACTTGTGGTACAGCAATCTGGCATTTCCCCCTCTTTACTTTGAGACCTGTTTCTTGGAACCTGGTCAGGACAGCCCGCAGCTGATCAAAAACCTGTTGTATTGTTCCCATTGAGACGAGCACATCATTGAAGTAGGGTACAATGCCAGGCAGACCCTGTAGGAGCCACTCCATTAAGCTCTGGAAAATTCCTGGTGCTACGCTGACTCCAAACTGCAGCCAACGACAATGGAAGGCCCCATGGTGAGTGACGATTGTCTGTGCCTCGGCAGTGGCGTCATCTACGGGCAGCTGTTAGTATTCCTGAGCAAGGTCGAGTTTCGCAAAAACCTTGCCCTCTCCCAGTGAGTGTAGTAAGTGTTGGATGACAGGGATGGGGTACGCATGCTGTTGGAGCGCCTTGTTTATCGTGCACTTATAGTCAGCACAGTACTGACCTGTCCGGCTTGAAGGGCGTCATGATAGGAGTCTCCCACTTAGCTTTGTCTACGGGTTCCAGGACCCCCTGTGCAATCAGCTTGTCTAGTTGTTCATCCACCTTAGGCTTGAGTGCAAATGGTACGCGTCAAGGCTTGACTCTGATGGGTGTGATTAGCGGATCGAGGTTAAAGGATATGGGCAACCTCACATACTGTCCCAAGGTTCCATTGAATTCTTCCGAAAACTCCGTGACGACGGCATCTATTTCTGATTGCGAAACACTTTGGATGCTTGTGATTTCCAACCCTGGGGACACAAACCACTCCAGTCCCAGTAGGCTGGGCCGATTCCCATCTACCATGAGTAACTTCAGCGGTCCCAAAAAGTCCTTGAAGGTCACTTTGAACTTGCCCACACCTACAACCGGAATGTTATTTCCCTGATAATCCCTCAAATGCAGGTAGGTGGAGTTCAGTTGTTTCTTAGATAATTTGGGAATCAACCTTTCGATGGTACTCCAAGAGACGATTGACATGGCAGAGCCCGTGTCAACTTCCATGTTGCATGTTTTGCCCTCAATAGTCACGGTGACATAAATTTTTCGGTGTTCAGACCCGTCAGCCTGGCCAACTGTCAGCTCGGCTGAGCAACAACAGTTGGTGACGGCATGGCAGTCCTTGTTAGCATACCTTGCCTTTTTGTTTCCTGGTGCCGGTAGCATATCTGCGAGCATAGACGAGCAACAAACCATTGTAATATGACCCTTATGCAAACAACACCGACAGATGGTGTCCTTGAAACCGCATTTGGACCGAGGGTGGTTGCCACCGCAACCCGCAGTCTGATTGGTCCCTCGTTCACCGTTTGACCTTTCCACATTTCTGCTTGATGCGGCAAACATCGTCCTCTTCATCTGAGCAGCCTTCGGAATTGCTGATCTCTCCATGGTGAACCGAGGTTGGCTTCTTTGAAATTGTTGTGCTGTTGGCCTTGCGTATCTCCGCTGTTGAATGTTTCGCTGCCTCCGCGGCTTGAGCTTCCTCAATGGCCTCTTTGAGAGTGAGATCAGACTTGGTAAGGAAACGGTGCTGTAGTTTCTCATCCCTCACACGGCACACGATTCGATCCACAGGGCACCGTCCAAGTCCCGGAATTCACAGTGGTATGCAACCTTCCTGAGGGCTGATAAGAACTCACTGATTGTCTCCCCCCCAGTTTGGATTTGATGATGGAACGCATGACGGGCAGTGATTCTGGACACCTTGGGTGCGTAGTGTCCCTTGAGTTTCTCAGTCAGTATGTTCCAAGGTGCGGCCTGCACCGCAAGCGGAGCCACAAGAGCACTAGCCTTCTCAAAAACTTCTGAGCCACAGACGGTGTGGAAAAGAGCTCTTTTCCGATTGTCCGTCAAATTGGTGAGAGCATTTGCCTCAAGGTAGCATTTGAAACGAGCGAGATAAGACTGCCAGGACTCGGTTGCTGGCGAATACAGGGGTAGAGGCAGTAGCGACACCATGTTTTCCTGGTGCCGGCCGGTTGAATTGTGAGGAATGGATGCTAGCCTCGGCGATATCTCAGCTCTTGAGTGTTCAGCTCAGCAGTTCCGCTCTCGCTGTGTCTTGTTTCATCCTATCCCATCCTCATCGCCAGTGTTAAATAGTGGGAAAGATGGACGAAGGACACAGCTCTGTTAGATTCACAGCTCTTTATTACAGCAATTAGAACTGCTCCTGGAGTCTGACACAGTGCAGCCTAGCTGGCTGCTTTATATAATACTAAGTGACTTATAACACTAACAACTCCCAACTAGCTAACCTATCAGTGAGCGACAGTTCTCAATCCTTCATTTGCATACAGGTGGCCCTGAGTGAGACCTGCAGTTAATCTTAATATATAACACTCTCTGCCAGACACAGAGGGGAGAGACCCAACCCTAAGCTTTAGGTAGTCAGCAAAAGACAATCCCAGAGTCGGGAGGTAGAAGTTTCCAGAACTGGAGTGGACGATACGGTAAGTGAACAGGGGGGAAAGTGTCCCTTTTGCAAGCAGGGAGATGGTGGGACGAACACAGGTGAGCAGTCTGTTTTATGCTGCAGTGAGGGTCAGACACGATCTTTGGGGTCTCTTGGAACCTGAGGCTGCAGCAATGGGAGGGACAGGATCCTCTTGGGATGTGATTGCTCTGAACTCTCCTGAGAACAGGACGCCAGGTTAGATGCACCAGTGGCCTGATCCAGCAGGCTCGTCGTGCATTCTTACTAAATCCTGCATTCTCTTACCTGTTTTGCCCCTTAAAAATATTTTATGGGTGCAGTAGTTTCTTTTATATTTGATTACCAGGGTGCAGGGCTGAAGTCATCTTACCAGAAACAGAACACAAAATAGGGCCTTTGCAACATATTATTCCCAAGGTGAATCATAACTGACTGGAAAATAATAAAAAAAATGTGGTGAGGATAGGGGTGTGCGTGGGTGTGGGTGATGTGCTTTAGCAGTGGCCTGAACGAAAACAGCCAGGAAATAAACCAACTCTAAGTCTCCCACCCGTATCTTTTTCTCTTCTGTTGCATAAGTTCCTGGCACAAAAGTCTGCCAAGGGCATGTGAACCCTGCATATTTCCAGAGCACTGCTAGCCTTTGAGGATCTAGCAGGAACAATGGGTGGCAGTGCAAAGGGGACAGAATATGCTGTCCAAAGCCCATCTGCTTTGTTGCAATGCTCACCCTTGTGAAATATTCCCTAAAATATGTGAGTTTACTGTTGGGAGAACTAGTCAGAGAGGGAAGGATGGAGGGAGGGTTTCTGTTTTATAGGCTAGCTTTGTTTTCTGGCATCTATGAGCCACAAAGCTTGGATATAAGCCACAGAACATCCTGTTTTCCCCTCTCTCTTGCCTGTCTTCTTGCTGGTTGGTCTTTCTAAGGTTCTGGAAAAAACACTGCCCAGCTAAAGGTAAGAACCAAAAAACCTTTCCTAAGCGGGTGAGAATGTGTAAAGTGGGGGGGGGGGGCTGTACAATACCTGTGGCTTCTAGGACAGAGATGAGAGTTAAACATCTGGCATTTTCTAAGTTTAAAGAAATAGTGCAGGGGGAGCAGTTGTTGCCGACAGGCATGCAAGACTGGGGTTTGCAAACAGTTGCAGCAACACAGGTATGCATCAGCCCCAGAGGAAAGTGATTGATTGATTGATTGATTGATTGACTGGTTATTTAATTTCTACACCACTTAATATATTTTAAAAAATCTCTAAGAGGTGTACAAAAAACTGAAGCAGCAACAGACAACTTAAAAACAATTTTACAAAAATACAGTTGTAAAAATGTTACATTAATACAAAGTGTGTGTGTGTGTGTGTGTGTGTGTGTGTTCAATATTCCTTCTGACATACCCTTCCTCTCAAGAGATAGCTGCTGTAACTTTGGAGGGGTGTCAGAAAAGGGGGACGTTACAAGTCCCCCTTTTTTGTTTATGCTGGATGGAATAGACTCAGTTTCATTGTTTATGTTATTATATATAGCATACTCTCTCTCTCTCAGGTAAGAAATTTGCCATCTGGGATATTGTATCTTTACCTCTTCCCATGTGCTTGGATTTTTTTATGAACAGGCTGCTTCTAAGATTAGGGTCCACACTGCAAAACTTGTTATTGAATCATAACATCACAGAATTGTATGGTTGGAAGGGTTATCTTGTCCAACCCCCTGCAATGCAATGATAGTGAATCGTGAATCTATTTTACTTACTCAGTATGTAAACAATAACAACAGAGGCTGTGTTTTAAAATACAAAGAGGGTATTCCTGCCCTCTGTTATGTACTGATATATATAACCAGAGGTTTTGGGGGAAAGCTCTCACTCACTGTTTACCGTGAGCTGAAATAAAGAGCATGAAATCAACACTCAACTCCGAGTATATTTCACACTCTATCCACCTCGTTGCTTGTCATCGGTGTGATCCTTTCAGTATGTCTTTTTTTTTTTAAATGCTTTTTTATTGGTGTTTCATTTAGTACAAACAACAAAATACATTAAAATTCAACAATCATTTACCCACATTCTTTCCCCACACTCTGCTGAGCATTGACTTCCTTCTCTCCCTTCAACAGGTTTTCTTATGTCAGTTACTTTTCCACAGTTTCTTATTGTATCCAATCCTATCTACATAGTAAGATTTATTTCAGTTCTGCCAATCCTTTCAGTATGTCAATGGCCTTTGGGCAAAACAATGAATAATGCTCCTGTCACTGGGTCCCTCTATTACAACAGCAATTTTAACACAAAGTGTTGCAGCGACCCAAGAAGCTAGTGACAACAATTGGGGGGGTGAGCCCAGTGCCCCAAAATATTGAGGAGGGCTCTCTGCCCCATATACTCGGCACCCCTGCATGTAACATACAACTTAACAGAAAAACAGAAATGACGCATCAACACTGCAAAGTGTAACAAACAGCATTTGCAGTTCTCAAGCAATAAACAAAGCAACACTCCCACCCACTAATTAGCAGATGAACAAAACCTCAACCCATCCAGCCCAAAAACCATCTACACTGACCCAGCAATGTTTTCCCAGCCTTACCCTGCCCACCAAATGTAGAAGCCTGGCACCAGGTCAGCTGCTGCAGATCAGTGGTGGAGTGGGTGCCCAGATCCTTCTCCAGGGATGTTCAAGCATCTCTCCCTTGTGTGCGGCAGGGAGAGCAGTAGAAAAGCAAAGAAGGGAGACAATGGTGGCAAACATTTTACAGTGGTACCTCGGGTTAAGTACTTAATTCGTTCCGGAGGTCCGTTCTTAACCTGAAACTGTTCTTAACCAGAAGCACCACTTTAGCTAATGGGGCCTCCTGCTGTCGCCGCGCCACTGGAGCACGATTTCTGTTCTCATCCTGAAGCAAAGTTCTCAACCTGAAGCACTATTTCTGGGTTAGCGGAGTCTGTAACCTGAAGCATATGTAACCTGAAGCGTATGTAACCTGAGGTACCACTGCACCTGTTTTGCAGATATCCTGGCCACTCTTCTCTAGCTGCTGGTCAGGAGCAGAGGCACCGTGTTGTCCCCAAGATTAGGGGGGCTGGCGCATGTTGCAAACATGTAATATTGCATGTGTGACATATGTCCTATGACATCACATACGTCCTTGCCATGCATGGTAAACTGGTGAGGACTAGCATAAGGCCACACCAACCTGTGTGGTATCAGGAGATGCCACCCAGGCAGTTGCAGCCTTCCACTAGGCCATGCTGGTCCCCACAGTGTCAGGAGATAATGCGTGGGCCAACGGGACCTTGTGCCAGGTCAGTCCCTCAGCCTCTCTTGACACTGCACAGATCGGTGCAGCCTTCCGTTGATGTTGTGCTGTGCTCAGCTTGGCAGTTCGGTCTCCTCTGCCCCCTCAATATTCGGGGAGGATGACCCCCCTGCTAAGCAATATTGAGGGGGCTGATGATACCTTCACCCCCTAGAGTTGGTGCATGTGATTAGGAGTGAAGCCAGGGAGATTCCCAAGGGCAGAAAGGGAGGTTTCCTTCCCTGGGTTAGAGGATTAGAATAGCACTGAAGAGACCCAGGTTCACACACACATAGCAGACCCTCCAAGTGTCCTTATTTTCCAGGAACATCCCTGATTTAGAAAAGGCATCCTGGTTTCTGATTTGATCCTGGAATGTTCCATTTTTCCTTACGATGTCTCTATTTTCATTGCAGAAATGTTGGAGGGTATGGTATTGTCAGATTCCCAAGCCATCTGAAGGCAATCCTGTATAGGGAAGGCTTTTTTAAAAAAGTTTAATGTTTTATTATGTTTTTATATATATTGGAAGCTGCCCAGAGTGGGTGGGGCAACCCAATAAGATGTGTGGGGTATAAACAGTAAAATTATAATTATGGAGTAGGACGTCCCTTTTTTTAATAAGGGGTATGACATAATCTATCCACTAGCTATGCTGCTCAAGCTATGTCACTACCCTAACCGTATCCTCCCTTACAAACCCACCAAGGCTCTGGAATCTATGGGGAAAGCCCTTCTCTTGGTTCTGTCATCCCCCACAGGCCCTTCTTAGTGGTGGACACCCGCAAGCAACTTTGGAACTCCCTCCCTCGAGAAAGCAGACTGGCCACCCACTTGTCATTATTCCGCCAGCAGATGAAGGCTGATGACATGCCTCTGGAAAGGGCTTTTCAATAATGCTATGCTATTTTTACTATCCATGTTTCAATAATAAAAACAATAAAAACAATTTTATTATTTCTATGCCGCCCATCTGCCTGGTTTGCCAAGTAAAATAGATCTGTTTTTATATTGTTTTAATTCTAGTACAGTTTAATTACTTTTTAATAACAATATTTCTAGCTTGTTGCATTTTATCTGTTTTGCTGTGATTTGTTCAAGCCGCCTTGCGTCCTGGTCTGGGGGAAAGCCAGGAGATAGATGATATAGATAGATGATAGATAGATAGATAGATAGAGAGAGAGATGGATAGATAGATAGATAGATATCCAACCTCTGTTCAAAAGCCTCCAATGAATCATAAAATTGTAGAATTGGAAGGCTGCCCTGAGGGTCAGGGATCATAGCTCAAGAATACCTGGCCGATGGCTATCTAACCTCTACTTAAATACCTCCAATGCATCTGACTATACTTTGCCCCTTGTCCCATCCTGACAGGCGGATACATTGGCAATTACAAGGAGCCAGGATTATGAAATCTACTAGAGAAAAGATCACCCTGAACTTCAGGGGAATCCGATACAAGACTTATGCTAGCACCCTCCAAGCCTTCCCTGGGACCAAACTGAGCCGCCTCACAGGGCCCCAGGAGGCATCCACCGAGTTTGACTATGACCCCAACACTGGAGAGTTCTTCTTCGACAGAGATACTCGTGTTTTTGAAGAGGTGCTGAACTACTGCAGGACCAAGCACCTCCACTGCCCTCAATACATCTGCAAGTCTGTCCTTGAGGAGGAGCTGGCCTTTTGGGAGATCAGTGAGGCCGCCCTGGCTCCCTGTTGCTGGCAGAGGCTGAGCGACATGGAGAGCCAGCAGGAAGACCTTGCCCTCTGGGATGACAGCAAAGACGAAGATGACCAGGCTCTCCTGGCCCAGGTGGGAAGGGGGAATAATAGTTGCAGGGCCCAGTGGCAGCCCAGAATTTGGACCCTCTTCGAAAAACCGTTTTCCAGTGGTAGTGCAAAGGTAAGTGCTGGAGCATTTCTTTAAAATGGGAATGGGGAGCCTGTGGTCTTCCACAGAGCCTGGTCATTGGGGTTGATGAGCACTGGACTCCAACAACATCTGGAAGTCCAAACAGGGCTCCCTTTGCTGCTTTAAAACAAGGAGAGAGAGGGGGGTCCAATTTGTTAAGGTCATCTTGAATCCCAGTTCTGTCTCCAGCAGCATTAACTACCCCTCCAGTTTGATGTCACCTGTAAAATTGGATAAGCATCCCCTCAATTCCTTCATCCAAGTTGTTTATAAAGATGTTGAACAACAATGAACCCAGGACAGAACCTTGTGTCACCTCACTTCTCCCTTTTTTCCAAGAAGATGAGGAACCATTAGTGAACACTCTTTGAGTTCAGTCAGTCAACCAACTAGAAATCCACTTAACAGTTACCTGCCCACATTTTATCAGCTTCTCTGCAAGAGTATCATCTGGAACTTTGTCAAAAGCCTAACTGAAATCAAGATACAATACCTTCACAGCATTCCCCTGATCCACCAAGCTTGTAACTCTATCAGAAAAAGAACTGAGTGTCATATGGCATGACTTGTTTTTGAAAAATCCATGCTGGGTCTTAGTAATCAGAGCATCCTTTTATAAGTGCTCACAGACCAACCATTTAATTAAGTGTTCTATGACCTTTCCTGCTACCTAAATCAAGCTGACTGGTCAGTAGTTAACTGGATCTTCTCCCCCCCGCACCCTTTGAAGATGGGGACAACATTTGCCTGCCTCCGGTATGCAGGAACCTCACCTGTTTTCCAGGAATTCTCAAAAATAATAGGCAAAGGCTTTGGGATTACATCTGTAAGCTCCTTTTGTACCATTGGGTCAGTGCTATTTTTCTAGGAAAAGAGGTGCTGGAACTCACCATAAACGCCTCCCTTGTTCTCTTATAATGGCAATGGTGCCCAACTAAGAGGTGCCAGAGTTCCGGTGAGTTCCAACTGAAAAAAATCCTGCCATGTGGAGTTCACGTGCCTCTACATTACACAGGCTTATATAGAGGCATCCCCTCCCCTCAGCTTTAAACACACATAGAAATTATGTTTACAGAGAAAACACATGTCTGCATTATCAAAACCAGATGCCTGCTTCATTGAGAAGAACAGGGTACCTTCTCTCTATAAGGCGAGCTCAAGGCTGAGCTTTTTCTACACAAACATTCTTGACACATTCTTCACGCAGCCTGTGTAAGAAGATTCTCCTGACAATATCCTCTTTTTTTTACATCTCTTCACATGTAGGCTACCTATCAAAGCCATGCACGCACCATTAATTCTGAGAGGGAAATAGTAGCTCTCAGTAAATTAAGGACACAAGGATGGTAGATGGAGCAGTTCCTTCTTTGTGGGAATCTGGGGAAGTCTCCTCCAACATAGTGCTCTCCAGATATTTTGCACCAACTCCCATCAGACGTAGCCAGCATGACTGAATGAAGTTTGAGCTGATGGGAAAACAGTCACATTGACTGGGGCTGATGGGATTTATAGTAACGCAAGATATCTAGAGGGCACCAGGCTGAGGAAGGCTGATCCACTGTGCAAACAGGGGCTAAATGGGGTTCTGCCACAATGCCACAATTTAGGGGGAAGAGCTCGGTGGTGGAACATCTGCCTTGCCAATGGAAGGTTCCAGGTTTGATCACCAGTGGCACCACAAAGTAGGGTGGGAGGGGAGAACCTTTCTAGAATACTGGAGATCCACTCCCCAATCAGTGTAGACCATACATCAAGGATGGAACAATGCTCCTATGAAGAAATGTTGCAGTGTCTGGATATTTTTAGTTTAGAAGAAAGTCAAGTAAGAGGTGACATGATAGAAGTTTGCATGGGACAGAGAAAGTGCCCCAAAACATTAGAACTCATGGACATCCAAGGAAGCTGAATGTTGGAAGATTCAGGACAGATTTAAAAAGTACTTCTTTTCACAGCACATAGAGCAGGAAACTCACTCCCACAGGAGGCAGTGATAGCCACCAACCTAGATAGCTTTGAAAGAGGATTAGACAAATTCATGGAGAATGGTAAGGCTATCAGTGGCTGTTAGCCCCAGTGAGGCAGCAATGCTTCTGAATATCAGTTGCTGGGAACCATAGGAGGGGAGAAGGCTCTTGTGCTCAGATCCTGCTAGCTGGTTTCCCTTTGGGGCGTCTGGTGGCCACTGTGAGGACAGGATGCTGGATTAGATGCTTCATTGGCCTGATCCAGCAGGTGCTTCTTATGTTCTTATGTTCCTGTATTCTAACACAAAGCTCACAAACTAACTTCGTGACACAGCTGAACTTTCTTTCCACAGGTTCTGGCCGCTATCTCCCTGGTCTTCAACATTGGGATTTGCATCCTTTTCATAAAGAAGGCTGATGTAGAAATTGAGTTCTTTGTCTATGGACATGAATACAACAGCACTGACACCGTCCTCAATGAGATTCACAAATACTTCCCTTACCTCATCCCTCTGGAGTTTTTCTGCGTCCTCTGGTTCTTGTTTGAGTTTTCTGTGCGGCTTACGTTTTGCCCAAATAAAAAGAAGTTCCTGACCAGCCCCCTGAATATAGCTGACTTCATCTCCCTCTTTCCAATTTTCATCGAGCTTTGCACACATGGACAAGCCTGGCTGGGTTTCGTCCGTGCACTGTACACCCTCAAGCTCTTGAAGATCCTTAAGCTCATAGAAATCCCTCTAATGTTCCAGGTCCTTTCATACACGTCCAGGTCTGTCTTCAGAGAGATCTTCATCTTCATTATCATCTTTATCTTTGAAAGTCTGTTCTTCGGCATCCTCATGTTCTACACAGAGGTCCTTTACCCAGTACCTGAATCATATTTTGAGAGCATTTCATCCTGCATTTGGTGGGCAGTTATCACTTTGACCACTGTTGGTTATGGAGACTCGTACCCTATTACCGAATTCTCCCAAGTGATAGCAGCCTGTGCTGCACTCTGTGGCGTGCTGACCATAGTCATCCCAATCCCTATCTTTCTGATCAAGTTCAAGGGCTATTATGATGCTGCCGTGATCAAGGAGAGGAGGAAGAGGAAGATGGAACAAGCAGCAATGCTGTCATCCTAAGGACTCCAGAGCACCATGTTGCCAATTATTCATGGGAAGAGATAACTGGCTTCTAGAGAGCTTCCTGCCACACTGCAGATGCTTCAGCTGATTTGATGCAATTTTTAGCTTCCTACCTGAGCATCATATTCCTCTGTGCTGCCAACTGAATTAAGTCACACTCTACCTGTGCTCCCACATTTCCAAAGAGAGAGAGGGCTACCAATGCCCGCTAGCCAAGGTGGCTATGCTCTGCATCCATGGCTGAAGACAACAATACTTCTGAGTATCAGCTGCTGGAAACCACAGGAAGTGAGAGAGCCCTTGTGCTCATGTCCTGCTTGCTGGTGTCCCAGAGGCATCTGATTGGCCATTGTGAGAACAGGATGCTGGACTAGAAGGGTGGATTGACCAGATCCAGCAGACTCTGCTTATGGTCTTATGTTCTTAAAAGAGGTCTTCCTCCTCGAGCTTCTTGCCTTCAAGCCTTTTTGCCTGGAACATACCTTTGGACTGTGATCATGGCTCTTGCTTGCCCACAATGAACATGGATAGATGCAAGTTGATCTCTGTTGGCATTCTGGGCTCCATTATTCTTATGAAGTGCGAGGAGATTAATGCTGCCACAACCAACCAAAGGGGAAATGGGTTAGAGTCACCAATAATGTTCTATCTTTGTGTATTTTTAGACTGTATAAGCCACTATCATTTTCCAGAAAAACCCTACAACAGCTAACATTGCAGCCTAAACACAACTGGTATAATAATATAAGGGGGAAATGATGCAGGGATTTGACAGCATATAAAAGCAACAATAGCAATACTACTGCTGCTGCTACTCCTCACAATGTAATCTTTTACAAGGCTACCTAGATGTTAATCTCATTGATTCAGGGAAGTTTCCTCCCAATGTGTATAGGATTGGACCCTGAGACTCATGAAATAAAAGTCAACACATTCATATACCAGGCATACAACAAACTATATTACTTACTGGAAACCCAAATGCTGTTCTTGGCAGAGCACAGAGAAGAGAGAGCAAAACCCACCATTTCATGGTTAGTGGCCCTCATCACAACTCGCTTAGACTCTGAAAATAAAGCCTCTCATTTCCAAACTGGAAATGAGAAAGGAGCAAATGTAAGACCTACTTCTGGAAAGGACTAGATCCCACTTCAGTTTGGGGGTCAACTTATATTAAAGGGGTAGCCCTCCCTCACCCAACCCCAAAAGACACAACTCATAAAAATGACTTGCATTAGATTCTCAGCATTCCTTCTGTTCATAGAAAATAGTAGAAGTATTTGGAAAGCTAAATTCCAGTTTATTTTAAAATTTCATATTAATCAAAAGTTATTACATGCATACATGCACATTCATACATACATGATCAAAAGGTATTACATACTTACATGCATATACATTCATGTGTATTACACACACACATACATGAATACACACACACACACACACACACACACACACACACATTCATATAAGATTATAAAGACTACAGAATCCAGGATCCAGAATGCCTCATATTTTTCTCTCACTTGTTTGCTTGGCTCTCCTCTTTGAATTGGGTGCTTTATGCTGAATGATGGCCTTCAGGGAGCCACCATTGAACCCAATGGCCCTGCAGGCATGTTATAGTACTCCATGAACTGTAGCTTGTTGTCAATGGGCACATGCACCAGCCACTCTCCTCTCTGCTCCAAAGCAAACCGGAGCATCAGGTGAGTTTCAAAAAAGGCATCATCATAGCTCAGCTGCATTTCAACCATGGGTCTCGAAAGGGGGGTGGGGGCAATGTGGGATACCAGCCAGTGAAGTGCAAATAATTGCAAATGTTTTACTGGCAGGTAGCAGGAATGGACACAGTCTACACTTGAAAAAGGAACCACAGTCATAGAAATGTGGAGTTGGAAGCGACTTGCTAGGGTCCTCTAGTCCAACTCACTGAAATACAGGAATCGCAGCTAAAGGATCCCTGACAAACAGCCAATCTCCACTTTAAAACCTCCAAGAAATGAGAGTCCACCACTTTCTGAAGGAATCCATTCCACTGTTGAATTATTCTTACTCTCAGAAAGTTCTACCTAATGTTGTTGGAATCTCCCTTTTTCATAATGGATGCAGCATTAAGCAAGTCCCACCCCCCTCCATAAGTGTGCTTAATATAATGTGCACTTTGGCCTTAAGACTTCAAAAAGTGTAGACCCCAAGTCCCCTGGGTTTCTGCTAGGTATTGGCACCTCAGTTTCCTAACTACATTGCACCTAAGAGAAGCCTCCTGGTGCGAAAAGGAGAATTTTGTATTATTAAATCGTATAATGTATGCTGCATTGTGCTTTCACGCTACAGTTTATTAAAGGTAATTATATTTCTCCATTACAATTAATTTGTGCTTCATGTTTCTCAGGGGCAATATAGGCATCGTTGTTAATTGAATAAACACTGAGAACATGAAGGATTCTTCTGTTTAGTAAAGAACTGCTAAGGAGAGGCATAAGCCACCTCAGGGCCATGATGGATTGGGAGGGAGGATTCAGCTCTTCCTCCCCCTGCCATAGACCTCTCCTAAACCTGTCTCTATTTGCATTTCAAGGGATGCCTCCATTGGCACCAGGAAATCTAGTGTTTTACAGAGGAACAAACCCAGAACTTTAGCTACAGAGTTTTTTGCCCTGGGTGAAGTCTCCAGAGGGGCATCATTGAGGCTCCCAGCCTGTATGTGTGTGTACACAAATGTGTGAGTGTGGGTGCCAAACTGGATCTTTGACCCGGGTGAACTAAAGTCTAGTTTCACTCCTGACAAACCTGACAGAGTCAGCTCCCTGCCCCAACAAACCTACACTCTAAGGGGAAATCTAGAAGCTGCCATGACCCCAGCGTCCAGGAAGACACTGGCTATGTACACACCAGACACTTACAGCACTATGATACCCAGTGCTTTTTTTCTTTAAAAAAATGTTTAGGGGTAGGTACTCTCATTTTGACTCAAGAAAATCACAATTTTATAGTTCAAATCGGGGGAAATAAATATAGTAAATGGACAAAAGTACAAAGATTCACAAAATGTTTAGGGGTGTGCGTACCCCTGTGTGTCCCCAGAAAAAAAGCACTGATGATACCACTTAAAGCACTCCTGTCCCCGTCCCCCCACAGCACCAAATTCTGGGAGCTATAGTTTGTGAAGGGTGCTGAGAGTTGTTAGGAGACCCCCTCTTCCCCTCACAAAGCTACAATTCCAAGGGTTCCCTGGGAAGGGACTGACTGTTGCACTCTGAGAGTTCTTATGTGGTTATTTATTTATTTATTTATTCATTTATTTAAAATATCTGTATGTTGCTGTGTCATTCAAAAACAACTATCAGAGTGATTTACAACAAGAAAAACATAAAACACTACAATGAAAACCATAAAAACGTTAAAAACAGACAACAATTAACCATTGTGGAAGGATGCCTTATTACTTGCCTGTGTAGGCCTGGCAGAATAGGGATGTTTCCAGCAGACATTTAATAGCTGAAACAGAAGGCACTTGCTCAATCTCCAGTAGCAGAGAGTTCCACAGGACTGGTCCAATGATATTATTTCTCGCTGTTGTCAAATGAGTGTTGCTGACTTGGGGAATGACCATTGGCGCTCCTGCAATCTCAGCGATTGAGCTGGAATATTATAAGGATTCAGGTGGTCCCTGAGATTCCCTGGATCTAAGTTGTTCAGTTGTGTAAATGAATGCAAGGACCTTGAACCTGGATTGGTAGGAGGTGGACAGCCAGTGCAGCTGTTTCAAAGATGGCATCAATTATCCTCAGCCTGAAGCTCCCATCAGCAATCTGGCTGCAGCATTCTGCCCCAGCTGGAGCTTCCGAACCAGGCCCAAGGGCAGCCCCACATAGAACTCATTGCACTAATCCAGCTTTGAGGTTACCACTGCATGTCCTACAGTGGTCGGGCTGTCCCTGTCCACAAACAGCTGTAGTTGGCAAACCAGACAAAGCTGGCAAAAGGCTCTCCTAGCCACAGAGGACACCAGGGCCTCTAGTGACAGAGATGTATGCAGGACAGGGGCACTAGCTTGCCCCCCCCCCCAATGTTCGGGGGGTGAGGAGGCTGAATGCAGAGATGTGGCTTCTGTGGCCGGCTTCTCCTCCTGCAGTTACTGGGGAATGAGCCCCCAGCTTGTCCTGGTGACACCTCCTTCTCCTTCTCAGAGCAATGTCAGGAGGAGTCAGGGCCTCCTTCCCTGACAGCCAAAGGAGGAAGAGGTGGAGAAACTGATGGTGCACACAGCGCTCAGAGTTTGGGATGCTCGGCTTGGGCTGCTTGTGACACATGACACATAGCATGTGTGTGATGTCACATATATGTGCGATGCATGCACCAAGTGTCGTGTGTGTGTATGATGTCACACATGCAACACTGGCTTCCCCAATTCGCTTTGTAAGCTAGCCCATGTGTTGCATTTGCTCCTTCTGAGGGAGGCAACCCTATCCAGAACAGGCAACTTACCAATTTCCCCTTGCATGTTCAGACCTTTAAACCCCACCCTAAACAAATTCACACAAGACACAAATTTTGGTTTGGATTTTTGGCAGAATTTAGGCCACAACTTTATTGATTACAGCAAGTGAGTGGTTGCATAGGCTCTGGCTCGGCTAGCTCCCTGCACTGTTGCAGGTAGCACTGACCCAGGGCACCAGCATAGGTCAGCCTAGGGTGAACACCTGGATAAGCGGAAAGCCGGGCACAGGCTATCTCCGCCACCCAAATGCCCCCCTGGACTCAGGCATGGGCACAACCCTCTCTCAGGGGTAGACCAAACCATCAACCAAACCTTTAACGGAATACCCTTCACATAGGGATGGCGAGTGCGTTCTCCCATCCCTATCACCTGAACCAGAGCCTATCCACCACACGAGCACCCGCGCTCGCCGCCAACCACTCACACCTGTAGCCAATCCCTTAACCCCTCTGACACGGAGGTCAGCCAAAAATTCATTCCCAATCACAGACAGATGAACCCTGTCAAGCCTGTAAAGGGACGCAACACAGAAGGTAATGCCTGAGTGACGGATCACCGTCCCTGCCCAAGGCCAGAACCTTTTTTGGCCACCATGCTCTGGACGCTCATCTGGGCCCTCTCGGTGGCAGCTGGGCATTGGCTACCTTGCCACACATCACTGCCATCAGTGACCAAATTTTGAGTCCAATAAGAGCCACCTTCAACTCTTCAAGTAATGAAATCCCCTCTATACAAGATTGGATCCAAAAGCTGACACAATATGCCGAATTAGATGGTTTATCAGAAAAAATAAAGAATAAATCAAAACTGGAATTTGTTTCAAAATGGGTGGTTTTCAAAGAATGTTTGAAAAATAAATATAGTAGTTTAAATTCTGTTGCAGCATTTGAGGAACTTCAGTAATAGTTGCAAGGTAGATATAAGAAATTAGATATATTAAGAAAAAGTTTAATTATGATAAAAGTGTGTATTGGCAATAAGTAATATGAAATTGGCGAAACCTGCCAATGCGGGGGAAATTCCTTCACGGTTCTGAATACAGCAACCATCTTATGACCGCAACAGCGCCCGCTGACCTGGAACGCAAAATATTAGCCTGGAAAGAAAAGAATCATTAACTTGAAAACCGCTGACCTAGGATGAAATTATGGAGGCAAGAAATTATTAATTTGAGGGAGGGTGGGTGGGTGGGTGATCCTGGAAGAGGCTTGGACAACAAGGTCAGCCTCTTTTCTTTGGCCTTAGCCCCACCCCCAGCCGGCCATCCATTGTCCTCCCTGGCCTAGGGTAGGTCAAAGGCCGGCCCAAGCAGGTGGGTGGCACCCGCCCAGGTGAGCCCCACTTGGTGATGCAAACCCCGCCCACCCATGGGGGAGGGCGGAAATTGCAGACACATGTGCTAAACCCTGTCTGTGGTGCCTACTCCTTTGCCCCCAAATGATGAGACAAGACACCAGAATATGGGTTCAAATTGGCCACAACTTTATTGAGCTTCAGAAGTGGGAAACTTGGCACAGGCCTTGGCAGGTAACCCTCTCAGCCCGCCTGGCTGAGGATATGTAGGCAGATGAGGTCCAGTGAGAGGGGACTCCAAAGCGCAAACTTACACAGCATGCCCTTCCACTGACCTCGTTCCGGGAGTTTGACCTACATACCACCGCTCTAGGGCCAGGGACTCCTGGTTTTTGCCCTTTAACGGGCCCTGCAAGCGCCACCGCATGGGGAGGTAGCATGAATGCATCCTCCCCGACTTGATGTTAGACTAAAGGATACCTTGCCAAGGCCTAAAACTGCCACCCGTGGCCTGGCCCTAAGGGCCTCGCCGCCAAGTCCCACAACTGAGGACCAATCAAACCCTGCAGTCTACCCAGTCCCTAAGGACTTGTCGCAAGTTGTGCAGCCAGAGGTCATTACCCAGTGGGGTCAGGTGCACTCCATCCTCCTGGAATAGTTCAGCCTTATCTGCCCTGATGGTGGGATGTGGGATAGAGAACCCGCCAATTTGCCGCATGGTATTGCGCATGGCCGTTGATTTTTCCACAGCATAATTGATGTGAGAGGGATTGGAAACCCCCCTCCAGTGCAGACGGGGTAGGAGATTGGACCAGCCAATGGTCATTGTCAGGTATAAGGCATGCAGGCTTTTTATATCTGCCCTTGCAGCAAGGGTCAGGGCAATGCCTTTTTGTTCCACTAGATCATTCTCTCCCACATGTAAAATCAAGACTCTTGGAGGGCCATGCGCCACTGCAGCACTACGCAACATGGGCATCAAGCTCCACCAACGTATGCCCCACTGGGCAATCCAATAAATGCGTACCTTGGGGAGGATGTTAAGGTTACAGCCCCCATTGTGCAACCATGCATAATCTGCCGCCCAATGCACAATGCTGTGCCCTACAACCCAGATCTTCATGGTGGGCAAACCTATAAGAAAATTCAATTGCAAGTGATAAGGTGGAGGAGCCAGAACGAATATAGCTTTTGTAGGCTGCCAAGCACCAGCACCCCAGTATCTTGATGCAGGTGGGGTCCCAACCCTGGACTGCCGCTGAAGTGGCAGCCCCGGTATGGAAGGAGTGGCCAGAATATTCCTGGGGACTAACGCCACAGGCCGCTATGAGTCTGTGTAAGACTGCTGTGAATTGAGATCGCGTCAAAGGGCGCGTATTTGAATGAATGAAGAAAGGGCCCTTGCACTGAGGCCGGACCCTGAAGAAGCGGCGTGTGTCCTGATATGGGCAGGGGCCCTCCTGTTCTGTCAGAGACAGTGCCAGCATGACCCCTTTCCGCAATTGGTCAGTTTTTGAGGACCGAATCTTGACATTCAGTGTATCCCCAGAGAATTTAATGTCGGTGTCTGCCAGCCCTGATTGAGGGGACCCAGCCAAACACTCCCCAATGCGCATGGCACCAAAAAAGGCTAGGGAGAATGCAGCCCGAAAGAGACGCGTTGGTAGTTTTTTCCAAATTAGATTGAGTGTGTCGATAGTGATAGGCTTCTTGCCATCTTGACGTGGGGGAATGACTCACCGCCACCCAGCCAGCAGCTTCTTGACGTGGAAGCTGTCACAGGGGTCTGGCCAACGAAGGAATTTACAAAAGAATAAAATAGCTGCCCTGTAAAGCATTAAAGTTTTATGGCAAGGCCCTTGCGCTTTAGGAGCACCATGAATTGAAGCACCTCCTCCTCAGAAGCGCGATGTGTTTTGGTGCCACGAAAACGCCCGAAGGTGTTCCAGGCCCTGGAATAAGAACATCTAGTGGAGGGTGCTATTGCTGACAATACTCCCTGGTTTACTTCTTACTTCCAATCTCCCACAGATTGTCTGGGAAGGCATCCGAGGTCTGGGCTGCCTCTGGTGCCAGCTCACAGAAACGCTCCATCTGGAAATGAGATAACGCATCAGCAATGTTATTGTTAAGGCCAGGTATGAAACGGGCAGCGAAGGAAATATTGTGCCGCACGCACTCCAGCGCAAACAGGCACAGCACCCTTATGACCCTCACGGACTTTGCTGACTGCCTAGATATAACTCTTACCACGACTTCTGGCGAGGCAGCATGGAGGCTGCAACAGCAGAAAAGAGCTCCTGAAGCCAGCCAGAGTAAAAGGCTCTGTCTGGCCGACTCCTGGGCTCCCAGGACTGCTGCCGCCAGCACCGCCAGCGGAGAGGAATCGGGGGTGCCTGGGGAGCCTATCAAAGGAGCCAAAACACCCCCCCACGACCTTGATTGAGCCGGAAAGGCACCCGACCACCCCCCCCAACAGCCGAGAGGAGCTCCAAAACCAGGAGGACAGTGGAGCTAACGCAAAGAGGGAGAAAGAAAGGGGGAGAGAGGAAGAAAAAGAAAGAAAGAAAAAGGAGCCCCAAACTTACCGCTGCTGCCCCCATCTCTGCTGACAAGAAAGCAGAGGAGAGGTAGGTGAGCACGGGAAGGCAAAAGAGGCTCCGGAAAAAACACGTGGCTGAGCCCCACCGGGAGCTCCAGCAGCAAGGAAAACACAGAGAAGCCGCATAACAAAGGGGATTTCCCCCCCTTTCTTTCTTTTCTTTTCCTTTTTTTTTAACCCCCTTTTGTTTTAACCCCTTCCTCCCCTCCCTCCCCCCTTTAAAATATATATATATATCTTTTTTATCCCTCCCCCCCATATACCTACTTTTATCACTTTTCTTTTTAAAAGAGGGGCCACTGCTGCTGCAGCCACCCTTTATTTGAATCTTTATTTTTATTGCTATCTTTTCTACACACTATTTAAAGACACACTTTTCCACACACACACTCTGAATTTAAACCTCATTTTATTTCCACCTCAAACTCCCTCTTAAGAACTAAAATGGCAGTACCCAGAAAACAGCCCTGAACCATCACAGGCCATTTCCTGGGACTGCCACTTCGCCCCAGACTTTCCACTCTCTTTTACCTATCCTCTTTTACCTATACTTTACTCATTTTTAAAATAAAATAAAATAAAAAGCTCTATCTATCTATCTATCTATCTAAAGACAACCCCCCCTTTTTTTTAACCTTTAATTCTCATTTTTATCTTTTACCCGTACATTTTTAATTACTTTTTTACAAACAAAAAATAATAACAATAATTAGGGGGAAATATTATTATTATTATTATTTTTTAAAAAACCAAAACCATACAATTATTATTTTTTCTCCCCTCTTTCTCTTTTTAAAGCCCTTTCTTTTCTATTTGTTGGCTTGTTCTTGAGGGGGAATCTTTCGCCCACATCTACGACAACCACTCTCATTTAAAACAACAAATTACTCCATATCACTGCTATTGCTATTGATACTCTCCCCCTCAACTCCCCTCCTTTTCATTTTTCTCTCCCTTTTTTCTCTCCCCTCTCTCTCTTCACCCTTCCTCATTTTTTCCTTTTATCCCACCTTTCATTTCCCATCCCCAATTTTGTTCTCTATCCCTTTAATTTTTTTAAATCAACCCCCCCTTTTTAGCCTGTTCATCAGTTTGTTTTTGAGAGGGGAGCCCTTTCCCCCCCACCCCCTATTTTAAAATAAGACTTTCCCCCATACCATTGCAGCAGCTTACCCTCCCTCCCTCCCCTCTCCCCCTCTCTTTTCTTCTCCTTCCTTTTCCCACCCTTCCCCCTCCTCCTCTCCTTTTCTCTCCCTCCTCCCTCTCTCCATCCCCCCTTCCCCTAAAGGAAACACCTACACACATTCATATCACCCTATCAAAATTTGACCCCCGCAGACGAAAGCTAAAACTACTGCTGCATTCTAATACCGCTGATATTACTGTACTATCTCTCCTCGCTCTTTCAACTCTCGTTTTGTCCCTCTCTCTCTCTCTCTTCTCGTGTACTCCAATCTCCCCTCCCCCCGCCTCCCCCCTTCTTCTTTCTTTCTTCTTCTTCTTCCCTTTTTTCTCCCTCCACCCTTTACATATAGCCTATTTGTCTGTCTCTGTTTCTGAGCGCACTCCCAAACCCAACTTCCACCTTAACTGGACCCCAATACCCCTCTTGGGCATATACAACCCCCTCCTAAACACATATTTCCCCTGGCCCCACCCCTCTAATCTCTTGCATCTCTACCTGCTAACCCCCCCCTTTATATGAACTGTCTGTCCGTTAGTCTACCCATCTCTGCTTACCTGCCCCCCCCCACCTCGGCGGCACCGCTGAGGCATCCACAAAAGCCCTAGAGAAGTTCTTAAAACACAGGCTAGAAGTGACACAAATGACCACCTAATCCAAACGCTCTGTAAAAGCCACCAGCCAACAAAGCCTGATCAGCTCAGCAACCCAACAATACCCAGGAATCACCACTGCCACAACTCCTAACCACCACACGCCCTACCCCAAGAGGACGCCAAGCCAACCTCAAACCAAAACCATCAGGGAGACCGAGATGACACCAACCAGGGAGATGGCAAACAATGCTAAGATGGTAACTCCCCTTCAAGATGACGACCACCCAATAACGAAACGAGATCTGAGGGAAATGGAAGCAAGATTAGAAGCACGATTAGAAGAAACACTGAAGGCCACAATGGCTCCCATGCAGGTACTAATCAACAATCTAACCTCCAAAGTGGAAGCTCTAGAGAACAAGAACCAAATGCAAGAAAGAATAATAGAGCAATACCGGGAGGAGAACACACGTGTGAACAAGAAACTGGACGAACTGGTAAACCAAATGGAAGCAGAACACAGAGAGATGAAAATTAAGCAAGCCGACCTTGAAGACCGCAATAGACGTTGTAACATCCGCTTCCGCAACTTTCCTGAAAAAACAGAGGAGAAAAGCCCAGCAGACCTAATTATACGCTGGCTGAAAAACACAATCCCAAGCCTGAAACTTGAGGCAGAGCCCTAAAACCTATGCCAAAACCCAGCGCCCCCCCAAGAGACATCATTGTATGCTTCACACGCTACCAAAAGAAGGAAGAGGTATGGAACCACCTCAAAAACTCAACCAACCTTCGATATGGAGAAACCCCCATTCTGGCCTTACAGGACCTATCTCAGGATACCCTAAACCGGAGGAAAACCTGCGCCCATGCACCCAGCGTCTCCAACAAGCAGGGATCAAATACCGATGGGGCTTCCCTTCCGCCTCATTGTAACAACCAACACAACACAACACATGGCGACCCACAGACCTGAGGCCCTGCTACGACTTCAAATCCTTGAACTCAACCTCCCACCGGAATGGCAACCGACAAACCCACCAAGTGACAGCCCCAACCACGAGGAAACAACAGCAAACAACTGGACAACGGTACAGAAGAAAAAGAAACAACAGAAGCGGCACAACAACGCAAACCAATACAGGCAAGCATCATGCTCAGAACCGTCCCGCCGGCCATACGACACAAGAAACCAGACCAAGATCAACCAAACCAATTCATCGCAGATGGACAACCCTACAACAACAACAACCCCAGCTGAATGAAGCAACCAGGAAAAAACCACAAACTGAAGGACTGGTGATTCCCCCCCCCTTTCCCCTCTCTCCCCCCCCCCAAAACATAGATTTAGTTAACACCATCAACATCCCCCCCAGCCCCGCACCCCCACAGGAATCCCCAACCCAACACCAGTCCAGACGACCTCAACCACATTCCCCATCACCCACACCTTCAACACCCCCATACTCCATACTAGGGAAAACAACTCCCCCAACCTTAATAACACAACCCACAATCAGGCTAAAATCTGATACCCAACCAGCACTATGGTGGCACCAGAGCGTACCAGCACCCACATCCCCACCCCAACACACCAACAATGTTGCTCATAACATTGGCAACATTGCTTATGAACCTTATACCTGACAGCGACGTTACAAAGTCACTTCACACTGTCTCACTGATCACCCCCTATCGCAAACAACAGGGGGGATGGCCTGTCCTTGAACACGGCCTTCCACACCAGCTGAGACCTAGGACCAACTGGCTAAATGCCAGATGGCCTAAAATACCCCAAACAAACACCTATATGACTACATATAGGAAACTCTCTACAACTTACCCCCTACTCTTTAACCCAAATCTTACTCTAATCCCATTAGCCCCCCCACCCACCACACCCTAGGTCAGCGCAACCCCACTTTTTTAAACAACACGAAGAGAGAGACACAAGACAACCCGAATGGGTTGGCAGGGAATTGCCCCACATAATAGATAAGCAAGATGGCTAACCTAAAAGCAATTACATTAAACGTGAGGGGGCTGGGAAACCCCATCAAAAGAAAACGCATCACCTCATACATAAACACCATGAAACCACACATCACCTTCCTACAAGAAATACACAACCCACCCAAAGGCAGCAAACTCCTGAGCGACCCCGCTTCAGTCAACAGTGGGTCGCACAAGGCTCAGGGAAAGCTCGTGGTGTAGCCATAATACTCAGTAGAGACCTGAACTTCACTGCCACAACAGTCCTCAAGGACAAAAAAGGCAGATTCATTTTCGCTAAAGGGACACTAGATGGCAAAATCAAACTGACAATCGGCTCCATATATGCCCCAAACACGAAACAATTAGAATTCTTCCAGAAGACACTAAACAAATTCCTCTCCTTCTCCGAAGGGGAAGCAATCCTAGGAGGGGACCTCAATCTAAATATGAAAGGTATATCGCTGAAAGATATCCACCCCACAACCCCATGGGCAACCTTCCTCCGAAGGAAACCCCCAACAACCAGGAACTCTTACAAGTTACTAAAAATGCTACAAACAGGGGTCTCTACGACATTTGGGGTGAGCAGAACCCGGGAGACATCAGCCATACATTCCAATCGGGACGCCATGATACAGTGTCCAGACTGGACAGCATTCTACTCACACAGGGTCTGATCCCCTCAGTAGAATCAACAAACATAGGTAACATTAAAATCACAGACCACGCCCCAGTAGAAGTCATTGTTAAAATAGGAGAAGGAACACAAACCACCCCATCATGGTCCTTCAGTCCCATCCTAACTACAAACAAACAAATTAGAGAGAGTCTCACAGAAACCCTCCAAAATTACTTCAAAGAAAACGATGTAAACAATATAACAACCCCCCTCCTATGGGACGCAATGAAAGCGGTCACCAGAGGAGCTTGCATAAAAGAGAAAACATTCCTTAAAAACAAACCTCCTCAAAAATTAGCAAAATAGAACAAGACATCACAGCCCTCTCATCACGCTACAAACAAACAGGATCTAAAAACTCCTCAAACTTATAGAACAAAAAAGGAGAGAACTAGACTCCTAGAAATTAACAAAACAATGATCAACATTCTATACTCTAAACAACGTTTCTACGAATATGGAGGGAAAACTCCAGATTACTAGCAAATAGATGTAGGAAAAAGCACTCAAAACAAGAATACACTGCATCACCAAAAAGACGGCAACATAACATTCTCCCAAAGAAATAACCTCAGAATTTGCAGAATTCTACTCCAACCTATACACCTCCCATAACCCACCAGAGAAGGAAATCAGAACATTTCTAGCAGGACTGACCATGCCTACCCTAACTAATGAGGAACAGGAATTCATGGACAGCCCTATCACCCCAGAGGAAATAGATGCGGTCCTCAAAAACCTGAAACCACACAAAGCCCCAGGCCCAGACGGCTTCACAGCAGAATTCTATAAGAAATTCAAAGAACCCTTGATGCCCTACATGACCCGCCTATTCAACGACATCATAAAAGGGGGCCCCATCCCCAAAACCTGGACCCACTCCAAAATAGTCTCCATCCCAAAACCACTAAAAGACAGCCTCAAAGTAGAATCATACCGCCCAATCTCATTAATAAACCAAGACTACAAGATATTCACATCAATCTTGGCCAACCGCCTAAAAATCTTCCTACACAAGTTAATAGCCCCAGACCAGACTGGCTTTGTCCCTGGCCGCAATATAACAGACCCCATCAGGAAACTACTGAACCTGATCGAACACAGCAAGGCAACCAAACTCCCATTGACAATTATGTCCCTAGACATCCTCAAAGCCTTTGATTGCTTGGAGTGGAAATACATATTAGCAGTACTAACTAACATGAAATTTGGCCCCAACTTCCTACAAATCCTCAAACAAATATACTCCCAAGCCTCAGCAAAATGCAGAACTAACAATATGGATTCTAACACTATAGCTATCCAAAGAGGCACGAAACAAGGATGCCCACTGTCTCCCTTCTTATTTATCCTGGCTCTGGAACCCCTAGCAATCCGCATCCGAGCAGCCACAGACATCAAGGGAGTTGAAATAAAAGGCAGAACCTATAAATTAGGGCTCTTTGCAGATGACCTAATGGTCACAACACCAGACCCCATAAGCACAGCAACCTCCCTAATCAGAGAACTCAACACATTTGCAATGGTGTCGGGCCTACAGGTAAATTTTACAAAGTCAGAAGCTATGTGCTTCAACACCCCTCCTCACACCCAAAAAGAACTCACGAAGGTCACCAAAATAAAACTTTGCCACACCAAGTTCAGATACCTAGGGGTACAAATAACCAGAAACCTCAATAAATTGTACCTCCACAACTACAAGCCCCTGTGGCGACAAATTAACAAAGACCTAAAGAGATGGAATAACATGAACTTCACTCTCTCAGACAAAATAGCCATGATCAAAATGATCACACTCCCAAAACTAACCTACCTATTCCAAACCCTCCCACTCTGATCCCTCAACCCAACTTCGCAGTTGGCAGAGAAAACTACACTCTTTCATCTTCTCACATAAAAAAACCAAGAATAAGCCCCAAATACCTGCACCTCCCCACCTCCGAAGGAGGATGGGGAATCCCCAACATAGAAGCATATTACAATGCCAACCAAATATGCCACATAATCCCATATATACTAGAAGATGAGACAAAACAATGGGTACACCTAGAGAGGGACACAATTGAAAACACCTGCACCACAACATACCCACTCCTCCCAAACAAACTAAAGAAAATTCCCACAACACTTAACAGGTACACACAGACCATGCTCAAAGCATGGAAAACACAAATAGGCAAACTATCCCCAACCCCATCCCCACTAATCCACCTGGCGTACCACCCATTATTCCACCGTGCAGCACAAAACCTCAAGATAAAAACCTGGCGAACCAAAGGCTTATATCGCCTAATAGACTTTTATAAAAATAACAAACCCTTGTCAACACAAGAAATACAAGACAAACTAGAAGACACCCAAATGCCCTGGTTAACACAACACCAACTTCATGCCCTCTTAAACAACCCAACAGTAAAATCAACAGCAACTAGGCCCCTGACAACCTTCGAAAACCTCCTCCTAACAACAAAGGGAAACGGTAAAGGGACGGTATCCGCAATATACAAAATACTACTCCAAAATCCTGTAAATCCCCTAGACGCAATCAAAAAACAATGGGAGAATGACATAGGCTATGAGATTAACCCCACTCAATGGACCAGAATGTGGTCTAAACCCCCTTTAAGTCCATATCAACGAAAAGAAAAGAACTCACACTGAAACTCACCTACAGGTGGTACCTAACACCAAGGAAACTAGCGCTAATACACCCAGGAACCTCACCAAAATGCTGGAGAGGGTGCACCTCCACAGGCACATACCTCCACATGTGGTGGGAGTGTCCCAAAATCCAACTATTCTGGACAACAGCCATACAAGAAATATGTAAAATAACTAAGCAAGTAATAGACATCACCCCAGAATTGGCCCTACTAAACATCTTCCAAGACAACAATGCCCATTTACACCACAAAGAACTCATAACCCACCTGCTCTCAGCAGCCAGAAACACCATAACCAGACACTGGAGAGACCTGTCAGGAGTAAGCATGGACCAATGGTACCAAATAGTATGGGAAACAGCCCTACTAGAAAAATTAACTAATAAACTGAAACTGACACGGGGACAAACAGAAGAAGACGCCTTCACCCCGGTATGGCTCCCATTTATCACATACACAGCCCAACAGGACAATGACAATAATCCACCAACAGCATACAAATCAATATGGCTAACCTGATCCAAAACACCCACCCACCTCACTCACACACGAAAACAAAGATCACCACAGCCAATCACAAGCAAACAATCACACCCTAGGCCAACCCCAACCTCTCTCACCACCAAAGGAACACAAGTGAACAACACAAGCAACGCTGACACCAAACTCTACATACATTAAACATAATAGAAACACCGCCACCCGACCCCACCCCCATCCATCTTCCCTCTCTCCACCCGCGTTTCTTTTTTTTTTTCTTCTCCCCCTAATGCCTCAACAAATGAAACGGATTTGTAAAAATGTTACATGGGAAAAAAAAATACGAGGCACTACACTTCTGTAAAACAAGAAAATCCTTAATAAAATATTAAAAAAAATAAATATAACTCTTACCACCGCTTGAAGCATCAGAATGGACCTGGAATTCCACCCCAGGGTTAAGGCTCTTTTGCCAAAATGAGACCCCATTATAATCCTGCAAGAATGCAAGCCAAATCTTCAGAGCATCCTTTATCTGCTTTGTCACCCCAATGTGATGGTGAGGGGCTACGTCTCCGGCCATGAGCCATGCCAGACGGGCACAAAAGGCATGGCCTGGCGCAACTACCCTACATGCAAAAATAGGGATTGCACCTGGCGAAGGGTGGTCTTTTTAACTCCGAGCGATGCCTCCAGCAGCGCTTTCAAGGATTCCAGCTTGGTCTGCGGGAGGTACGATTGAAGCTCAACAACTTTAATCCTAAAAAAAGCTCAACAACTTTGGTCAGCCCCCACGGTCCTTTACTTCATCAAATCTGGTCCTCTTTGAAAAAAGTTTGGACATCACTGTCTCCCCTTGCCTGTGTTTTTCCCACAACAACCCTGTGAGGACTGGCCCCTAAATCACCCAGTGAACTTCATTATGCTCAGATCTAGATGTTGGTTATGTATAAGAGAAAAGACACATTCTGGTGAACATTCTGCTATATATTCCCATCAGAAACCCAAGGCACCCCAGATGGCCAGTTTCAAAACCTTGGCTGTGAAAATACCCTCATTTGCCCATCATCTTCTTCACCAGGAGGAAGAAGTTAACCAGGGAGAGGCGGCCAAGTTGAGCAGAAAAGGCAAGAACAAAACAATTTGTTCTTGCTTCATTTCCTCACCATCCCTCCAGCCCCCCGCCGCCTTGTTGCACAACAAATCTGCTTTGAATTGAGCCAAGAGAGTTTGAACTCTGCTCATTTCCAAGAGGCCAGAGCTCTTTCAGGAACTGTGGGTGGCAAGGGAGTTACTGGCTTATTTATAAATGGTCCACTAAATAATAGCTGGTTGTTGCTGATAGGAAGGTATGTTGGGGGAGCAGAGCGGAGGGTGTGCATTACACACACACAAATAGCTTTTCTGTTGGATTGGCTGGCTTTGCTTCTTGGCATCTGACATCTCTAGCCTTGGAACTGGGCCCCTAGAGGCATCGTGTTTTGCAGACAGCTCACTCAGTCCTTTTGCTGCCTGCTTATTCTTCCCCATTCTTTCTCTCTCTCCACCCACCACTTCATCAGGACTGTGGAGGTAAGGACTGGCGCTGTATCTTTTTCTCTGGGATTCTTCACGTATGTGTGTGTGTGTGTAGTATGGTGCAATGGGGGCTTTTAGCAGACAACAGAAGGGGTTGGTGATGACACTCAAGTTGTGGGTTTGGAGGGCATGAAGAGACAGGCAGGCAGACATGACAGGCACGATTTGCAGTGGTGGCACCTCCTGAGGGCTGCCATCTAGCTTTGCCATTGCACGTACTTCTTTTCATGCACCAGGGGATGCACTCAGACATACTGTGTCTTCCCTGCTCAGGAAGGAGGAATATATTGTTACATGCTACCCCAAACTCTGAGCCTCCAGGGGTTCCTGTGATTATGTAGGTTTGGCTTCCTTGGAATGAAAGTAAGCAGAGACTGTGGTGTCTTTTGGGTGTATTGTATTATTTAGTCAGATATACAACCTGAGCATTTGATAGAGGGGCTCACAGCATTAGCACCCCAACAGATCTTACTTCTCTATTAGCTGCAGCTTTGGATCTAGCATGGAGCAAGCATATCTCAGTGTCTCCAGCTTCCAGCTCAGCTCTCACACACTACACTGGCCCTTGTTCTCTTACCTAGCAGATAAGTGAGGGGCGTGGAGGAGGAGGACACCATCACCTGGTTGTAGTTCTTGCAACCCAGCTCATTCTTTTGGGAAGTTGACGAGGACATACTTAGTGGCCAACTAAGGTCCATCTTTTGGTGTGCAATTCTGCATAACATAGACCAGAATACTTTTGAATAAACATGAATGGAACTAGATGGATTTTTGAGGTGCATTTAACAGTTGAGCAGCTGTTCTCGGAAAAGGGTCAAACATATTCTGCTTAAATCAGTGGCTCCCAAATTTGATGATACTGCCCCCTGGGGGTGGGTGGGATTAGTTAGAGAGGTGCTAAGAGGCAAGGGGGTGGCAGGAGGTCGAAGGCAAGCCTTTCTGAGCATGTTAATCACTTGTTTATGATTGACACGCTAGAGTCTGAAACAAAGCACCTTTCTCACTTTATATTTAAAGTTTAACTGCTCTTATCCCTCTCAAGGGGACACGGGTGGTGCTGTAGTGTAAACCACTGAGCCTTGGGCTTGCCGATCGGAAGGTCGGTGGTTCGAATCCCCTTGACGGAGTGAGCTCCCGTTGCTCGGTCCCTGTTCCTGCCCACGTCAAAGTGCAAGTAGATAAATAGGTACCGCTCCAGTAGGAAGGTAAATGGCGTTTCCATGCGCTGCTCTGGTTTCACCAGAAGTGGCTTAGTCATGCTGGCCACATGACCCGGAAAAACTGTCTGTGGACAAACGTCGGCTCCCTCAGCCAGTAAAAGCGAAATGAGCACTGCAACCCCAGAGTCATTCACGACTGGACTTAACTGTCAGGGGTCCTTTACTTTTATCCCTCTCAAAGCTATGTATTTTGGTCCTGTTTGTATTTTTTTTAATTCTAAGTTTTCACAACTGTTGGTAATGCTTATTGATTTTCTTATACATTAATTAGGTGAAGGTTTGTGCATGTTTGGTAAGTGTGGATAGGTAGATTTTCCTTATATTTTCCTGAGAAATATTTTTCATGCAATATTTTTCGAAGTATATTCCTTTTTTTAGCTGAAATATTAGATCAGAACATTATTTGTGTGCATCAGTGACACGCACTCATATCTACAAATTAGTTTTTTTGCGGGGAACATAGCTATAGATTGAATTTTGATTAAAAGTGTGATTAAATATGAATTTTATTGCACTATTTTCTTCTTCAGTAGATCATGCAAACTGTTCTTCTGAAATTCTTTTTATGAGTTTATGGAGGCATGGGGCAGTGGCCCAAAAAAGTTTGGCAACTACTAGCCTAAGTAGTTTCTGTTAAATTGTGCCAGGCTGGTCTCTGATACTGCATTGCTACACAATATTAGTGGAAACATTTTGGTTTTTCTCTAACCTGTACAGGAGCAGCCCCTAGATCACCAGCAACAACTAGCAGAACTGTGTGTGTGTGTGTGTGTGTGTGTGTGTGTGTGTGTGTTTGCAAAGTTCTCTCAGGGCCACCAAGAGGTGTGGAAGCCAATATAAATTGCCAGGGCCCTACAGTCTGGAAGTGAACTCAACTACCGTATTTTTCGCTCTATAAGACGCACCAGACCACAAGACGCACCTAGTTTTTGGAGGAGGAAAGCAAGAAAAAAAATATTCTGAATCTCAGAAGCCAGAACAGCAAGAGGGATCGCTGCGCAGTGAAAGCAGCGATCGCTCTTGCTGTTCTGTCTTCTGGGATAGCTGCGCAGCCTGCATTCACTCCATAAGACACACACACATTTCCCCTTACTTTTTAGGAGGGAAAAAGTGAGTCTTATAGAGCCAAAAATATGGTATCTTGCATATGTTTTTGTCTTCCTTGATAGTATCATTGTTGTTGTTTTTTTAATATCCATTGTAAAACTGGTGAATTTCAAAGAAAATAATAATAATATACAGCATTTTGCCAGTTGGCCAATAGAGGCTTTAACGGACTACTGAATTTCCTCGTGCAAAAACAGCTTTCAGACTCTCTGCGTTGCTCACACTCTCTGCACGCCAGGTCTGCGATGCTCCCAGGAGATATTGTGAGATCTCAAGGATCCATCCAAGTTCCCATGAGATCTCATAGGCCTTGGTTCCCATTTAACTTTTATTGTTCTTGTTGTTACTGTTTTTAAGCATGAAGTTATAAGAAAAAACTGCTCCTTTTCCTTCATGGGGTACCCAAGAGCCATATAGAGTCCTTATGTAGGTTCTCTATCAGTAGGAGAAAATAACTTCCGGGTTAGCGCCATCGGCGAATGGCGGAGTTCCTCCGACTGGAGGAACTGGCTCCGTGGAAACTGGGTCTTCCTGCCGCGGCGAAGGTGGGGACCCGCTAGAAATCCCAGGCGGAGGAAGCCTGGGAACGTGGGGTTCGGCAGGGCACCAGGAGCGCCCCCCTACTCACGGGGAACCCCTTTTTGGGATTCCGGAGTGAAGTGGGGTGAGCAGCGCGGTGCTGCGAACTGACTGCTACTTTCACGGAGTGAAGCCGCACAGCCATTGCCGGAGAGCGCTGACTTTTTCCTGTGGACAATTGGATTTAAAACAAGTACCCGTGAGTAGAAACGGAAAATTGGATCAAGAAATATCTTAATTTGACATCGAAGCGGAAAGGTTCAAAACAGGAAGTCCGCCTTCCGCTTTTTGTATATAGACTGAAGCAAAAACCTTGTAAGCTAAAGCCTGGAAAGTCGGTAAAAAAGCCTAAATTTCCTTCATTTATAACTACTGAAACCCCCTTGGAAGCAGGAGAAAAGGGGGGGGGCTTTGTGTAACGCCTGCAGGAGAGGGAGTGAAGAAAGATAAGTTTCCACCGTCTCTAACCTGGGAACGGGGTGTCAGAGACAGAAATTGTTGGAGAGGTTCATTGACTGTGAATGGAATATTTTGACAGATAGCTGAAGAAGAGAAATAAACTGTTTCCAATGTTGCCTTTTGCATTCTAAAGAAACAAAATATCTGAAAAATGAAAGTAATTTTCCTTTGTTGGACTTGCCTTAAAAAGATGGATACGAATAGAAATTGTCTCCTCTAGAGGGAGCCTGCTAAATTGTTGCTGCAGTCTACTTGAGGATTCCACAGCTGTGAGATTAAGATCGTGGGATTAGTCCTTTTGACCTTGACTAAATATGAGCTGGAAGGAAGCTTTGATGCTTGCTTTATGCAAGACAAGTGCTTTGTTGGAACAGATGCATGAGAAGATGGATTTGCTGAATGAGAAAATGGATTTGATGACTGTTGTGGCCAATAACTGTGGACAAATAGTGAATAGTGATACAGAAACCATCCAGGGTCCAACTCAGGAACCTGTATTGATTGGGCAAGTGCAGAAGATAATGGAGGAGGCTGCGGTTGCACCTCAAATAATACAAATGGAGAGGCCCAAGGCCCTACAGGAGCATAAGCCGCTGTTTTTGAAGATTGAAGTAGGAGTGGGCCAGGGGGAGTCTGGAGCTGAGGAGGCTTTTAACTTTGGAGAGATTTCGAAATATGCTCGTAAATATTTTTTGGATTATATTGATGACTGTGGGGAGTGGGACTGTGGGGAATGGGCTGGTTTGATGAAGGGAGACGGAGATAACTTTGGGTTGGAACCCCCCAGAGACCTACTCCTCAATGAGAAAGGAAAGAAATTAAGAAAGAGACCAACAAAAGCCAAGGAAAAGTGCAAGTATAAACAAGAAGAAGAAGATCTGCAGAAGGGACATGGAAGAGACTTAAGCGCCTCGGACATAAGACTTCCAGGTTGATGGACTAGATGGAATGGACAGTAAGGACTGACACGACCCGAGACCAGGAAGAAGAGACGTTGGATGAAGATTGGAAGAAAATTTATAAAGAATTTTTTTTATTTAGGGAATTAGCCTAAAATTAATGAATATTAGGGAAAATGTTGGAATGAAACTATATGACTCTAGCAGAAATGATATCAGGAGTTATGTATAACTGAGTATTAAGTTTTAAGCTTTAAGGTATTTTATGGTAAGATAAGGTTAAATAAATTAAGGTAATTTGAATAACAGAATATGGGGAAAGATGGAAAGGATCTGTCGAGTTAATTAATAGGTTAAATTGTTAAGATAAATTATTTAATAAAAATTGAGAAAGATGGAAAGAATTTGCTGAAATAACTAACTAAACTAGAATACAAAAAGGGAGGTGTGAGGAGGTCAACGAAACAAGCAAATGGAAGTTAAAGATATGTAATATGGGATTTGTGTCTTTTTTCCCTTTTTTCTTTTTTGCTGTATTGTTGTATTGGTTTTTATGTTTTGCGTTTTTTCTTCTTTTTATGTATTGTAGTGTTGTTCTTTATTTTTTCTTTTTTTTTCTGTAACTTTGAAATTATTAATAAATATTATTTTAAAAAAATATATCAGTAGGAGAAAATAACAGAGGCCAACCAGAGAATATTGAGAAGCAAAGCAGCTAGCAAGCCTGATCTTTATTAAACTGTTGCAACAGGGTCCTCACACACACACCCCACGCAGGAGGGAGGAGGAACCCAGAACAATGGTGAGCAAGCCCTTATACAGTGGTACCTCGGGTTACAAACGCTTCAGGTTACAAACTCTGCTAACCCAGGTTGAGAACTTTGTCCCTGGATGAGAACGGAAATCATACAGCAGCAGCATGGTAGCAGCGGGAGGCTCCATTAGTGAAAGCACACCTCAGGTTAAGAACGGTTTCAGTTAAGAACGGACCTCTGGAATGAATGAAGTTCATAATGTGAGGTACCACTTGCGACTTTTGAAAATGCCACCCTTTCCTGTCTGGTAGGAACCCTGTTAATGGGTTTCCCTGGACAGCCTGGCCTTTCTTTTGTGATGATACTTAATTCCTGATTTCAGGTCACAGGCTCTCCCTATTCATACCCAAATGTGCCCTTAAGGCAGGATTTGTGGGCACATGCGCTAAATCCTGTCTGTGGTGCCTATCCCTTTACCCCAAATGATGAGATAAGAGACCAGAATATGGGTTCAAATTGGCCACAACTTTATTGAACTTCAGAAGTGGGAAAGTTGGCACAGGCCTTGGCAGGTAACCCTCTCAGCCCGCCTGGCTGAGGATATGCAGGCAGATGAGGTCCAGTGAGAGGGGATTGCAAAGCGCAAACTTACACAGCATGCCCTTCCACCGACCTCGTCCTGGGAGTCTGACCTACATGCCGCCGCTCTAGGGCCAGGGACTCCTGGTTTTTGCCCTTTAACGGGCCCTGCGAGCACTGCTGCATGGGGAGGGAACATGAATGCACCCCCACCCGACTTGATGTTAGACTAAAAGATACCCTTCCAAGGCCTAAAAGTTGTGACGAAATGCCACGGAGAAGGCAAAACCTGCCAATGCATGGAAAATTCCTTCCCGGTTCTGAATACAGCAACCTTCTTACAACCGCAGCAGCGCCCACTGACCTGGAACGCATAATATTAGCCTGTAAGGAAAAGAATCATTAACTTGAAGACCGCTGATCTAGGATGAATATCGAGGCAAGAAATTATTAATTTGAGGGAGGGTGGGTGGGTGATCCTGGAAGGAAGAACAGCAAAAGCGGCTTGGACAACGGGGTCAGCCTCTTTTGTTTGGCCTTAGGCCACCCCTGGCCGGCCATCCCTTGTCCTCCCTGGCCAAGGGTAGGTCAAAGGCGAGCAGCTGGCGGCGGGGGAGTCATGCCCCGCCCCGCCGCCACAAAGAACAGCAGGCCACCCCTGCGGCCTAGCCGGGGCCCGTGCCACCCGCTCAGGCCAGTGGATGGCGGCAGCAGAGAGCCATGCCCCCCCCCCCCGCTGCAAAAAACCAAGCAGGCTACCCCTGTGGCCCAGCCGGATGGCAGCAGCGGGGGAGCCTTGCGCCCCCTCCCCAGCGCCGCCACAAAATAAAGGCCGCCACATGGGTTAAAACAAACTGGGATGCCCACCCTCCCTTGGGGCTGGCGGAGCGCCCCCTCCTGCGGTGAGCGGCGGCAGATGGGCCCAAGCACCAACCCACGCCACCACTGGACAAAAAGCTGAAAACCGAGAACGAAGAAAGAAAGAAAGAAAGAAAGAAAGAAAGAAAGAAAGAAAGAAAGAAAGAAAGAAAGCTGCAAAATGTGGCCTAGCCTGGCGGAGGTGCCAAGCCATCCCCCCCCCCCCCCAGTCCAGGCAAAGTGCTTACCTCAGTCCGGCCATCTTGACACGCTCCTGATGATCTTGATCCTGGAAGGAAGAACAGCGAAAGAGGCTTGGACAACGGGGTCAGCTTCTTTTCTTTGGCCTTAGGCCCACCCCCAGCCGGCTGGCCATTGTCCTCCCTGGCTGAGGGTGGGTCAAGGGCTGGCCCAGGTGAGCCCTGCCCGGTGGGCTTTTCCCATTTCTATCCAAATATTTGAGGTCACTGAAAGAGTCAAAATGGCTTTAGGATGTTTTCCTGTACTGTTTCAGACATGTGATTTATATATTTATGTATGCATTTGCCTGGTACATTTATGAACGTTTATTTTATATCTTAGACCTTATAATTCTCATAACAATGACAAATACAACATGCATTTAACTTACGTTCAGCTTGCAGGATTTCAGCTTGTCTCGCTTCACCTTCATGTGGCTGGAACCGTGCAAATTAAACATCTATAAGATGCATTCGTGCTGTAAAGATATTTAGCTGGTCCACCCTTTGCTGAGGAGCCACCTCAAAAACTCCCCCCCCCCCCCACAAGGGCAAGAACCCTGAATTTTCTGGTAAGTTATTGCATTGTTATGAGTTTGCACAGTACAAGATATTCTAAATTCCTGGGTCCAATAAGTTAGAATTAATCGGTTTGGGGAGTTAAGCTATGCCAAGCACTGAACACCTGGGTTCAATGCATACATTAAAAATGCAAGCCAGGCCAGCCTGGTAACCTCTTGCTGAGTGTGGGTAGTAGGGGAACAAAGCCTGAGAAAGGGGCAGGGAGATGGGTGATTAACAAAGCAGTTACTTTGTGCTGGACAGCAGAGGGGTGTGAGACCCTCCTCCCTCAAAATAAGTAAGTAGCAGGAGTCACAAGGCCAGAGTTTTTAGAGTGGCAGTGATGTGCAAGCAAAACTGTGACAGGCTATAAAAAGGAGACCGAGAGCATGGCAGATTTCCATTTTGGATCTAAGGCTGGTGTGCCTAGAGAGATGTAGCAGATCCCACCACTATATACCAGTTGTGGCAGATCCAAATTATGTACACACCCTATAATAATGGGTTATCTTTTGGGTTTTGTGTAAGGGAAATCTTAGATACTTGGAGACTCAGGTAAAAGTTGAACAAATAAGAAACATTTATTTTACAGAATGAAGTGGATAAAACAAAGGATAGCTTTGTATGGTTTTATGATTTTTCTATTTCAACTTATGCCAATAAAGGTTGGTAGAAACTAGAAACAAAGGATATATCAGGAGATAATGGTCATTCAGGAAACAGCAAACCTATTAACAATTATACTAAATCTAATGGATGTTTCAGGCTTCTAATCAAGCACAGATTCTGTTAAAACTTCAGATGATTATGTTCAGTTATTACACTTCAGGTAGATGTTACAGGTTCCTAGACTAGATGGTAAATGCTCCACTTATTTCATGTTATTTCACTTCAGTTCTTAACTCAGTGGTTGCATAGGTGTTACCGCTTAATACTTTGGTTCTTCAACAAGATGGTGCTTTCTGTCAGTTACCCAACCATTTGCCCATCCCACTCCTGAGGTACTCCAAATGGTACAGCAGCTCCAGGGGATCACCATGCCCCTTTTAAACTGTTTTGGGAATCTTCTCTTTTTAGATCTCTCCCCTCCTGACTGGAATGAGACCCAAGTACATTGTATCCACACAGCTTCTACTTCTCCTGGCTCAAACTCGGCCTTCCCGGTTAACTTCTGGCCTGATACTCTCACAGAACATGCTACACACTGCCCTTCACGCCAAGCTCCTTTCTCTAGCTTTAGATATTTTCCTCAGAGTGGATGTTTCTACCCAGGACAAACTCTCTCTCCCCTAGACCAACACCCTTTCTTCCTCTCAAACTAAACCCTGTATCTGAAAACTCCCTCAGAAACGGCTCCTTTTATTTTCCCTCCCAAAGTGCTGGCTCCACCCCACCCCACCCCACCCCACCCCAGCCAACTGTCTTGGTAGCCAATCAGAGAGAGGCTCCAGCACTCTGGTGGAATTCTGAGGAACTGCATCACCAGACTCTGGTCTGGCTCTGCTGTACGTCACAAGGGAAGCAAGAGAACCTCTTGGGAGTATATTGCTGGGAGCCTCTCCATCGTAGATTCTGGTTGCAAATATGTGTAAATAAACCATATATCATAAAGACACCACCGTCTCCACTGTGCCATGTTATTATTTATTATATTTATGGGTTTTCCCAGCCACTCTGGGTGGCTTCCAACACATATAAAAATAAAATAAAACACATATAAAAATAAAAACACCAAACATTACCCTGGGTAAGGGCTTGGAACCTCTGGAATCTTGCACTGCTGCAGAGACTGGGGTGGATTGCAGCAGTATTCAAAACTGTAATTTCGTTGACTAAGCCCCTTTCTGAATCTTCCCAGGTTGTTGCAAGAAGCCAGTTGGACCACCATCAGACAGATGGAGGTCTCCACCGGAAAGGTCATTCTGAACGTTGGAGGCATGCGCTATGAAACGTACCTTAGCACCCTGCAGGCTTTCCCAGGGACCAAACTGTGGAGCCTCACAGAGCCCCAGGCCAACACAAAACATGACCATGACCCTAGCACCCAGGAGTTCTTCTTTGATCGGAGTGGCCGGCTGTTTGGGCAGGTGCTGAACTACTACAGCACAAAGCAACTCCATTGCCCTGCAGGTGTCTGTGAATCTGCCTTTGAGGAAGAGCTGGATTTCTGGGGGCTCACAGGCACCCAGTTGGCTCCCTGTTGCTGGAGAGGGCCCCAAGAGGAGGTGCATGACACTGGGATTGTCGACGAGCAAGACAACGACCAGGGTCTCCTGATCCAGGAAGAAAGAAGGAGTGGCTGTCAGTATGCCCGGTGGCGGGCCAAATTGTGGGATCTCTTTGAAAAGCCCCATTCCTCTAAACGTGCAACGGTAAGGAATGTGCTTGATAAGTCCCAAACTTGGATCTGTGACTTGCCAGGGGAAGGTGGAGAGAGGGGCTAAGGGGACTGGTCAAGTATTGGGAATGCAAAACCCAACTCTGCAAATTAACTTGGTGCTGTATATACCAAACTTCCTCTAAGGCAGCAATTCCTCCCACCACCACCTGGACTCCACAAACTCCGTAAACTCTAGCACCTGCCAGCCTATAACAAGCATTATTCAGAATAGCATTATATAATAAATTGTGCAGAATACGTTACACTACCAGATGCCTCTGAGAAACTTGCTATCAGGATCTGAGCACAAGTGCCCTCCCCAGAAACTAGTATTCAGAAGCATATCTGCCGCCAACTGTGGAAGCAGAGCTTAGCTATCATGGCTGCTAGCCATTGACAACCTTGTTCTCCACGATTTTGTCCAGTCCTCTTCTAAAGCCATCTGTGTTGGCCTCCTAAAGTACCGAGTTCCATATTTGCTGCTTCAAAAAGAACTTTCTTTTATTGGTGTTCATGTGGGATCTTCTATAGCCAAAGGGGCAGAATCTGATACGTGAATGTAGGAAAAGTTAACAAACGTGTGAGAGCAGATGGCACCTTTGTTATATGTCTTCCCGTGCCTAGCAAAACCCTTCCTCTTTAACCATTTGGCCTCTGAATATCTGTGGCCTCTTAGATGGGATGTTCCATTGCATTACTTTAATGTATTCTTTTAACGTGTTTTTTTTTTTTAATGCATCTATGTAGGTTTTAATTAGTTAGTTAGTTTGTGAGTTGCCTTTGGCAACAAAAAGTTACCAATAAATTTAATAACTACAGTGCGTGCATATATATAATATTTAGTTATAGTTAGTTATATAAATATAAACCAATGGGCCCATTTTCCTATGTTCACCCTTCCTTTATCTTTGCAGGGTTTGGCAGTTGTTTCTCTGCTGTTCACCATCGCCATCATCATCATCCTCTGTGAGGAGTCCAAGGGGTTCATAAAAAACATCACCCCAAACCATACTATAGAGAGCCACCACCACCATTACTACCATCACTTCTTTCCCTCTGCCTATTCCTACGAAGTGGCCCCCTACCTCCTCCACCTTGAGCTTTTCTTCATCCTCTGCTTCACGACTGAGTTCTTCGTACGGATCATGTGCTGCCCAGATTTGAAGAAATTCCTGAAGAACCCTCTGAACATCGCTGATCTCCTCTCCCTGTTCCCAGTTTACACTGAACTGTCCTTGGCCAGACCTTCACAGGAGCCACACCCTCAGGAGTCACATCCTCTGGTCCAGTGGCTGGGTCTGTGCCGCATTATTTACATCATCAAACTCCTGAAGGTATTGAGGCTGGTGGAGACACCTCTGATGCTGAGGGTGTTGCCTTGCATGTTCAAATCCATCCTGAGAGAGATACTCATCTTCTTGTTGATTTTTGCTTCTGAAGTCCTTTTCTTTGGCACCCTCTGCTTTTATGGGGAGCTGCTGAGTACCAACTTTAAAATAGGGTTTCGTGACATTGGCGAGGCCTTCTGGTGGGCGGTCATCACTCTGACCACTGTAGGGTATGGAAATCTTGTCCCTGTCAGTGTCACCGGCCAAGTGATAGCAGCTTGCACTGCACTCTGTGGTGTGCTGACCATCGTTGTCCCAGTCCCGATCTTTCTGTTCAGTTTCAAGGGCTGTTATGATGCTGCTGTGATCAAGGAGAGGAGGAAGAGGAAAGCAATGGAAGCAGTGACGCTGTTGTCCTGAGGACTCCTGAGCATCACATCCCCCGTTTTCTGTAGGAAGAGAAAAAAAGGTTTCCAAATAGCTCCCTGGCACATCACAGAAGCTTTTCAAGAAAGCATTTTATTGAAGTAAAAAAAATAAAATAAATCTATTCAACAAAAATAATAGAAGTACAAAAAAGCAGCACAGTATATTCAGGAGAGACTTAATTGTAGGTTGGTGGGGTATTTAAGACCACCACCAGTTTCATGTTGCCCTGAGGAGAGGCAGTCCTGTGTGTCTGTATTTTTTGCACATAAGATAAAATCCCACCCAACAGCCCATGATTTTTCTGGGTCCTCCAAGCCTTTGGCAACATGTGATTTATCAGTTTTTGCAGCTAGTGATAAATTCCACATATTTTTATACCAAAGTGAAAGTCTCAAGCTTTGCAACTTTTTCCATTTGGAGGCAATTGAGGTTCTGGCAGCTGCCAGCATCCATGTCAAAAGTCCACGAGAGCTGGTTTTTTTCTGCTGATCATCCCATAGTTGTAGGTTGTATGCTGCTTAGAGATTTTAAAATATTAAGCAACTTAGAAATACTTACAAATAAGTAAATTTATTATTGATCTTTTATTTTATACCACTTAACATATGAAAAATATCTCTACGTGGCGTACAAAAACCAAAAGAGCAATAGACAACTTAAATAAAATATTACAAAAATACAGTTACATATAAAAATGCTAATTAACTAATACAAAGTTACTACTATATATAAAAATCATATATAAATCCATATCAATTTATTTTCCTTCTGACACATGCCTGATATTTGAAATTTGGTTAAGATTAAAATATAAAGCAATGTACTTTTTTAAAGCTTCATTTTTTCAGGAAAAGGTAATATATTATTTATCTCAATATGTTTTGTAGGACTTAAAAGTTACATCAAAATGGCATTTGATCAAGCTTAGAAATTTTTACATTAATTGGCAATTAATTTCAGAACATGAGAGAGGTGCTTAACCTATGTAATGAAATAGAACATATTTACATGGTTAGGTGTGTTTCAAAACTTTATAAAAAGGTAAGCTGCTGTTACTGGAATGTGGAGTTTTCTTGTGGAAAATTCACCACTTTGCCTGCTTATAGAGCTCTGGTAAGGCAAAATTGTGTATGTTATACATTTTGCTCATTCTCTATGTTTTTGTATCAACTCCATGATTAATCTTACATTCTGCAACAGGATTAAGATTTTGCTAGTAAAGAAAAATACTTTTAAACTGTCTGGTCTCAGAATGAAATATATCTGTTTCTCTAATTATTTTTATCTGGACACAGGTGCACCATGTGACCATTTGCACTCAGTTTCCTGTGAGATCCAGAGCTTACTAACCACACAGGTGTATTTAGGCCCTGATTTAGGGTCTGATCTGCCAATCTGGGCATAGAACATGTGATCTGTACTGTGGGCAGGTTCCCACATGCATCCAGTGGCATCTGTTTTGTACAGTCAGATGCCAGTCTCCTGGCATATGTGTCCGTCCCCTGATTACTGTAACACTCTGCATGTGTGTATGGACCATGACAGATATTCTTAACGCTCATATGCTGATAGAACTCTCATATTGCCACACAAGATGGCATTACTGACATCCGTTCACAATATCCATCTGCCGACGATCACAGCTCCTAGCATCAATCCCTGCTCTGCATAGAGCAAACAGGTATTAGAGAGGAATGTGGTTGCGTGATCCTGCTCACCTTCCCATGTGCTTAACTCTAAATGCGGCTGCACCCTGAAAATAAACTGCATGTAAAACAGTAAAGCGTAGAGGAGTCCTGAGATGCTCTGCATTCGTGAAGCTGTCAGGAGCAGTCATGACTCAAACTGGGAAGCTTTGCGATTGTGTGTGGCTGCCCTCATGTGATGATGTGCAGCATTGCAAGTTGCAGCATCCATCTAGTCCAGTACAGTACTCAAATGTTTTGTTCCACGGACCACTTGAAAACTGCTGAGGTCTTGGTGGACCACTTTATTATTTTTCTGCCTCTTGCAGGAGTTGCAATGTGCTGTGCTAGATGCTGTAAGATTTGTGCCTGTATTTTTATTGTTTCTTTTATTTCTTATGTGGTACTTTATTGTATTACAACTGGCATTCTACAGAGTTCAAATTGTAACAGAGTAGCATGCAATATCAGATGTCCTTGAGTTATTGTGTTAGGAGAGAGGGAGGAAAGCTCTTCTCCCATCTACTTTCTCCATGCCAGGTATAATTTCATGTCCGATACAAAATTCCTCTGTATGAACTGAGAGGGCTCATCCAGACTTCATTTTGTGTCACATTATTAGGCACAGGTCCACACTTTAAAGCTCTGTCCAAGCGTCTCTCTTTCCCTGGCGCTTACCCCATGAAAACCCACCAGAAACAATTTTGTGGAAAATTCAGATTGCAGTTTGTTCCAATTCCGTGTTAAAGAGCAGGTTTTCCTGGGGAAAGCAGTGGGGAGGGGAGAAGAAGAAGCACTCAGACACGGACCAGGAAAGTGCAGACCTGCTCGTAGAAAGCAAAAGGCAAAAGGTGAATGTAGGTGAATCCCTAGAATGATGAATGCTTGCTTCTGTTCATGGACACATGACATCATAACAGCACCAGATCTAGGACTGTCTGGGTGTTTCCCCTGCATTGGATGCCAAGCTGAAGGGGTGCAAAATAGTACACTCTGTTCTAAAATGAATTATTGTGAAAATAAGAAATATTTAGGGGACAGCACCAAATTTTGTGCTCACTCAGGGTGCCATATTACTAAAATCCACCTCTAGAAACAAGCAGGCAAACTCCTTGTCCCAGAAGAAGGGGGGGGGGGAGGTGTGTCAGGGACCTTCGGACCTTTGCCCAGAGCACCCAAGGAGGTCAGAGGCAACTTGAGAGAATTTGCACCCCTTCCATTTTTCCATGCACAAGCCCCATACTCTGGAGCCAGGACTGAGCAAAGCATCCTTGCAAGTGGGGTGTGTGCGCATGTCCGTGTGTGCGTGTTTGCTAGGGGCAAAGTGGCAGCAGGTTATGTGTTAGCTCAAGAAGAAAACCTAATCATTCTAAACACAAAAAAACACTAAGCACTATATTAACAACTTTTTAAAACACTTGTAGTCTAAACTTCTCATCTGTTTTTTACAATATTAAAATATTAGCAAATATTAATGAGTGTTACAGCATTCTACCACAGAGTGATATAACAATATAACACTAATTTTATTAAAAAGAAATTTTCTGCTCACCATTTTAGCAACATTTTAGAGTTTTTTCTCATTAAATGCTTACGATACTCACTTCTGATGCAAAACAAAAATCAAATACTTTTTGTCTTATGCTATGGGTTGCAATTAGCAATGACATTTAAATAATGAATAAGCACTAAGTGCTGAATACATAATTGATATTTTAAAAAATTGGAAAGATGATACCATGGCCCTCTTTCAACAGTGGAAAGAAAATATGACTACTTTTGCAAAATACAAACGGACCACTTTCAGTTGTAGATTGTGTACGGACAAAAATAATGGTATTTGGAATGCATTTATAAAAAGCATAATAACTTGTTAATAATTTTATACTCATTAGAATAACCATACTACTTATATACCTATATATTGTTTTGTACTACAGTCTCAAGCACTTTTTCACTTTGTTTCTCTATTGTAAATTTTCAATAAAATATATTTTTTTATTTAAAAAAGTTCACGGCCACTCTTGTGAACTAGATCTTGCACTTAGCCACCCACTGCAAATTTTCTCCTGGCCATTTGTGTACAGTGGTATCTCTGGTTACGTACTTAATTCATTCCAGAGGTCCGTTCTTAACCTGAAACTGTTCTTAACCTGAAGCACCACTTTAGCTAATGGGGCCTCCCGCTGCTGCTGCGCAATTTCTGTTCTCATCCTGAAGCAAAGTTCTTAACCTGAGGTACTATTTCTGGGTTAGTGGAGTCTGTAACCTGAAGTGTATGTAACCTGAAGCGTATGTAACCCGAGGTACTACTGTAGAGTAGGCAGAACATAGCACGAAATGTACACAGAAAAGCAGCGATTGCCCCAAAAATGTGGCAAGTCATTTGCAATAGGGCTGGACATTACAACAGATGGGCAATGTTTTATTAGTGCTAAGAATAGGAGTGCCCCCCACCCCACTACTACCACCTCTGTCCGCATCTTGCCTTGCTTTCTGAAAGCAGCACCCTTCTGTTTGAATCCCCCTCCCCACTTGTTCAATAAATATTGTTACATGGCTGCTCTTCCTCAGAGCACTATAAAGCGCTGTTTAGGGAACATCGTCCTTCTGCGCCGCTTAACATCCCCTTAGATAATGATACACCATGGCCCCCAACATCTGAAACTGAAATCACTTCGCTAATTCTACAAATGAAATCTGGCAAAGCCCCAGGAAGTGATTTCATTGTCGCTGAACTTCTGAAAGCGCAAATAAACTGGTGGGCCCCGGTCCTTGCTAATCTATTTTCATATATAGATAAGACAACTGAAATCCCTAAAGATTGGGGACTAGCTATAATTGTTCCCATATATAAAAAGGGCAACCCCTCTGATCCATCTAATTATAGACCAATTAGTCTCCTGAATGTGATCTGTAAACTTTATACAAAACATCTATGCCTAAAATTATGGGAATGGTTAGATCATAATAACTTGCTAGAAATTGAACAAGCAGGGTTTACATCCGGACGTTCCACCATTGATCACTGCTTAGTGTTAGATTACTTTGTCTATAAGTATGCGGCCTTTGTGGACTTAAAGGCAGCATTTGATTCTGTATCCAGGAGCAGGCTCTGGGCCAAATTGGCCAATATGGGTATTAACAGAAGGTTATTACTTCTGATGATTAAGCTTCATGAGAACAATACCCTCCAGATAAGACTTGCACAGGACGGCAGACTCTCTAGAGAAATCCTAGTTCAAAGAGGAGTTAGACAAGGATGCCTATTAGCCCCATTCCTATTTAATATCTATGTTAACTCCCTGGTTACATGCTGTCGTGAAATTGAAACCCACCCCCCTGTGTTCTCTAATGGCAGAAAAGTACCAATTTTAATGTATGCGGATGATGCTGTTCTTCTCTCTCAAACCAAAGTGGGTCTGAAACGTGCCTTAGGAAAGTTTAGTGACCAATGTAACACTGAACTGTTAACAATTAACTTTGCCAAAACCAAAATTGTACATTTTAACCGCTCCTCTAGGAAGGATAATTGGAGCGTAAAGGGAAACGCCATTGAACAGACTAAGACCTTCCAATACTTAGGCATTACTTTTTCTTATAATGCCAAATTCTCAACACACTTGACCACATCAGCTATATCAGCAGAAAGAAGTGCAAATGCTATCCTTAGATTATTCAGAAGGAAAGGAGCTGGCTTCCTCCCGATGGCCCTAACAGTCTTTCAGGCAAAATCTTTAGCCCAACTTCTATATGGCTCTCAAATTAGCCCCTCTGCCAACCTTAAGACCCTTGAAACAGTACAATCTAAATTCTTAAGATCATTATTGATCAAATTCTTAAGATCATCATATGCTGCTCTTCCTCAGCAGAGATCGCACACCAACCACGCAGGAAAAACTCCAGCATTTTAAAACATGTAAATCACATCTGGTTCGCAGCCATTTCTCTACATCTTCTTCCAAGTTCTGGTGAATATCACATTGCTAATGCTAGAAAGAGGTCAGCAAACTTTTTCAGCAGGGGGCCAGTCCACTGTCCCTCAGACCATGTGGTGGGCTGGAATATTATTTTGAAAAAAATAAAAAAGAATGAATTCCTATGCCCCACAAATAACCCAGAGATGCATTTTAAATAAAAGGACACATTCTACTCATGTAAAAACATGCTGATTCCCAGACCATCCGAGGGCCGGATTGAGGTGATTGCGCTTGATCTGGCCCCCAGGCCTTAGTTTGCCTACCCATGTGCTAGAGGGAGGCTCTCAGTTAGAGAAAAGACTGCATCCTGCCATTAGCTCCCACAGGTGAATCTGTCTGCTGCTAGCACCTGTCTGTCTTGGGAGACGTTGGAGGAGTGCACATTTGGGGGGCGGGGTTTCTGTGGCTGTAGAGACCAGTGTGGGAGAGACATATTTTGTTGCAGCCGGGGGTGCATGCCTTTGTGTGCATGGGAATCCACCCCCCCCCAATGTGAAGGAGCCATGGGGCATTTTGAACTGCAGGTGGTGATAGCATTTTGTAAATGTAAAATGCTACCCACACATTTATCAGAGAGGGAGATTTCAACATAGCATTCTTGCTATTATGCTAGTTAACATAACTGTGAGTGGAGATTTATATATCTCACATAGAGGAGCAAATATGTGAATACAGTGGTATCTTGGGTTACAGACGCTTCAGGTTACAGACGCTTCAGGTTACAGACTCTGCTAACCCAGAAGTAGTACCTCGGGTTAAGAACTTTGCTTCAGGATGAGAACAGAAATTGCGTGGTGGTGGCGCGGCGGCAGTGGGAGGCCCCATTAGCTAAAGTGGTACCTCAGGTTAAGAACAGTTTCAGGTTAAGAACAGACCTCCAGAACAAATTAAGTTCTTAACCCGAGGTACCACTGTATCATCATTTGAAATGGTACTGCTCCAGAGGATCATAGGAAGCTGCCTACTGAGTCAGACTGCTAGTCCATCTAGTTTTGTATTGTTTACACTGACTGGCAGCAGGGGTCTCATTACTTCGTATCTTAAATTTTACCGATTGCTTTCAAAGCGATTTCCTTTGGTCACCTTTGTTTATACTGATGATTCTTGAGTTGTCACAAGTCACTATGTAGCCAGGTATTGGTAATAGCGGTTGATTTTCTTATAAATTAGTTAACGTACAGATATGCCAGGCGAAGGTTTGTGCATGTTTGTTGAGTTATATATAAACATTTCATGCTAAAGATTTTCTCCACCCTTATGCTTTCATAAAAATGCATTAAAAAAAATTTCATGCAATATTCTTTGCTGTGTTATTATCTTCCTTAGTGGGTGGGCCCCCAAAAAAGTTTTGGGACCGCTCGGCTACACATACTTTCCAAACACTTGAAGCAAGTAATGGTTTCACATCTGGAGGCAAGAGGGGAAAGCTCCTCTGTCCCCAGGGCCGTCTTAACCATAGGAGCCAGGGTTGCGGGGCACCCAGGCTCTGGGCTCTCAGGGGCGCCAGGCTGAGAGTCTGGGGCCCAAGAGTTGGAGTCTGGGGAAAAGCCCGCCAGCCGGTTGGAGTGCTGCAGTGGGCTCTTCTGCTGCGGGCAACTCTGTGCCACAAGTTCGGGGGTGAGCGAGCCAGCGAGGCGCTAAGGCAGCCAGCCGGCTCTGCCCTCCTGCGTGCCAGGGATTGGCATAGGGCCATGGAGAGGCCCGCCCAATGCACGCTGCTTACACCACGAGGTGCCCGGCTTCGCTCAGTCGCCAATGGTGACGCCCTGGACTGGTCTGTTGTGCTGGGCTCCTTATGTTTCCTGTTTTCTTTTCCTGAGGAGAGTTAAAAAAAAAAAATGTTGACAACTCTGGGCAACCTGGGGGGGGGCAGTGCGGATCTTTGCACCCCAGCGCAGCATACGCTTAAGATGGTCCTGTCTGTCACCTCCCCTGCCATCTTCCCTCCAAGATTTCTCTTTCAGGTCCAGCTACTCCTCTAGCTGCCAAAATTTTCCTGCGGCTGCAGCCCATGTTCCTATAGGGAAAGTAAAAGAGGCTTTTCCTGTTTGCAAAATCACTGCTCCCTCCCCCCAATGGCCGCGATTTGCTGAACTCCACTGCCATATAGGGTCGAAAACCCCCACAATCCAACTTGAGGGGCGGGCTGGAAGGGGTGGCCCTTGCCTTAGGAGGCCCAAAAATGATGTCATACTAGACTTTAGGCTACAACAACAGGAAACTGTTTACACGGACAAATGTGGGAGGGGGAATTGCTGCCCTGTGGCCCTGCCCTCACTCCCTCCTCGCTTCCTTGGTATATCTGCTTCCTCTGATTCAACTATACTACAAGGGGGCCTATGAAAAGAAGAAAAGGGGGATGGGAGGCAGATGCACCATTGATTACAGTCTCCAGCACCCACCTCCACACATCGTAGATTTGCATCCTGGCTGGTCCTCCTGAGGAAACAAAGCTGGAGGGTGGCAAGGAAGTCTAGTAACCCACAGAATTGGTGGCAATATTAGCATTACAATGCAAAAGAGCTTTATAAGAATAAGAATAAGAATAATAATTTTTTATTTATACCCCGCCCTTCCTGTTTCAGAAAACCAGGCTCAGGGCAGCTAACAACAAATTTAAAACACTTAATTGATGCAACAAAAAACAGCATAAAATACAGTATAAAACATTAATAACAATAAATTCAGAAATCAAAAATCAATTTAGGGGGAAAATCCATCCAATAAACATTAGATGATCACCAGGGCTAGCTAGCTAAGTTAGTCCTACTTGGGCCAGCGAGGAGACATGGGGAGAATTAGCTGTGGGATTCCAGAGCTGGTAATCTTCATAAAAAGGGGAGGGGGAGGGAAGGAAGGGGAACAAAAGATCAGGCCAGGTTCAAATTGAAAGCCGGGCGGGATAGCTCTGTCTTACAGGCCCTACAGAAGGAAATTAAATCCTGCAGGGCCCTGGTCTCATGGGACAGAGCTTTCCACCAGGTTGGAGCCATCACTGAGAAGGCCCTGGTCCTGGTGGAGGATAATCTGACTTCCTTAGGGCCCAGGACCTCTAAACTATGATTATTCATGGACCTTAAGGTCCTCTGCGGGGCATACCAGGAGAGGCGATCCCGTAAATACGAGGGCCCTAAGCCACAAAGGGCTTTAAAGGTCAAAACCAGCACCTTAAACTTGACCAGATACTCCACCGGGAGCCAGTGCAACTGGTAAAGCACTGGGTGAATATGCTCCCATGGCAGGGACCCCTTGAGGAGCCTCGCTGCAGCATTCTGCACCCGCTGGAGTTTCTGGGACAGTTTCAAGGGCAGCCGTGCACAGAGCGAATTACAGTAGTCAAGCCTAGAGGTGACCGTTGCATGGATCACTGTGGCCAGATCGGGGCGGGAAAGGTAAGGGACCAACTGCTTAATGCGGCGAAGGTGGAAAAATGTCGCCTTGGCTGTTGCTGTAACCTGCGCCTCCATGGAAAGGGAGGCATCAAGGATTACACTCAACCTCTTAACGGAAGGCACTGGCACTAATTGGGGCCCCACAAGAGAATGGAGTTGGTCCCTCATCCCTATACCATCCCAACCCAGCCAGAGGACCTCTGTCTTCGAAGGATTTAGTTTCAATCGGCTCCCATGAAACCATCCAGCCACAGCTTCCAAGCATCTAGTCAGTGTGTCCGGGGTCAAGTCAGTGTGGTCATCCATCAGCAGATAGAGCTGAGTTTCATCAGCATATTGGAGACAGCCCAGCCCAAAGCTCCAGACAATCTGGTCAAGGGGGCGCATTAAGATGTTAAAAAGCATTGGGGAGATGATTGTTCCCTGCGGCACTCCACACACCAAGGAGTGACGCGACAACATCTCCCCCCCCCAAGTGCCACCCTCTGTCCCTGACCAGAGACAAAGGAGCACAGCCATTTTCAGGCTATGCCCTGTATCCCCACGTTGGCGAGGCAGTGGTCCAGAAGATCATGATCGACCATGTCAAAGGCTGCTGACAAATGTAAGAGAATCAGCAGTCCCGACCTGCCTTGATCCAGTTGTCTACGGAGATCATCTGTTAGGGTGACCAGAGCCATCTCGGTCCCGAAACCAGGACGGAACCTGGACTGAAATGGATCTAAAGCCAATGTTTCCTCCAGAAACCTACCAAGCTGTTCAGCAACCGCTCTCTCAATTACCTTACCCAGATACGGAAGATTTGAAACTGGGCGGTAAGTGGATAGATCTAAAGGATCTAGTGAAGTTTTCTTTAAGAGCGGACACACCACTGCTTCCTTCAGCTCCCCTGGGAATGTCCCTGTGCCAAGGGACAAATTGATAATTTCAACCAGGGGGATCCACGTGACATCTGGGCACACCATGATCAGCCAAGACAGGCACGGATCGAGGAGGCAAGTGGTGGGCCTACCAGCTCAGAGGAATCTTTCCACATCAGCAGAAAGTATCCGATTGAAATGGTCCAACACTGGACCTGAAGACAGTCGAGGGGCCTCCAGTTCTGTTACTGTATCTAAATTGGCAGGGAGGTCACAGTGGAGCAACAGGACTTTCTCCGCAAAAAAGCTCGTGAATGCCTCACAGCTGTGAGTCAAATTTGTGCTTAAATTTGGTTGTCCTCCTAAGGATGTTATTGACCTAATTATTCTAAAAAGTTGTGCCGGGCGAGAGCTAGCGGATGCAATGCAAGCTGCGAAGTAAGATTTCTTAGCAGCTTTCATAGCCATCTCATAGGCTTTCATAAGCGTCCTTGAAGCTCTGTCACGAGTCCGTCACCATACTCACTGTAGCCATCTGAGATCCCGATTCATTTTCTGGAGCTCCTCGGAGTCGCAGAGGGTGCTTAGGAGCAATCTCATTGATGGCCGCCAAGAACCGGTTATTCCAGTCCTCGACAAGGTCATCTAATGAGTCGCCAGGGAGAGCAGGGTCCCGCAAGATAACCTCCGAGGGGGAGCCCAAATAGGCTTTGAGATGAAACTGAGGTAGATGAGGTGACTCTTGGGATCCCTCCCAACTCTGCAGTTCTGTGATTATTCTAGGAGGGCTACTTGATGCAAAGCAGAAAATCCCACCCTGCCTCTTCCTCTGCTGCCCTCAGAGGCTGGATCTACCACCTGAGATAACTGCCTCACTGCACCTCATGGGTAGCTCCAGCCCTGGAAACAGTAGCCGCAGTTCTGAGGTGGCAGTGGGGCAAATGAAATGAAATAAAATATTGAATGCAGCCTGAAATCTTACCAGGAGGGTGCAGAAGAATATCAAACAATGGACAGCAACTGCACAGAGGACTAGAATCTGCACTCTAAAAACATGCTTACAAGCATTCTAAAAACAAGTGAAAAAGCACTCCCCCCAAAATACATATAAAAAATCATTCTGTCACACAGTAACTTCAGGGTTGCCAGGAACAGCATCTTCCAACATTCATCTTTCACTGGGTGGCCCCTTTGAAAGCTCTAATATTTTGAGAGAGGGTCCTGATGTTGGGTTTGGCACCTTAATCCACCCTTGAATCAGAAATGCTGAGGTGAAAAGAGGCAGCCCTTTTCAGGGAGGGAGGATTGAGCCAGGGCATATTTATTGCTCCTCCTTTTCCTCCTCTGCTGCCCCGGGCTCCAATTCATGACTATCCTTACTGCTTGCTTTCCCTTCAGGGGGAAGGCTCAGCCCCCCCCCCCCCCCCATTGCTACACAGGGTCCAGCCTTATGTCCAAGATTCCTTCACACTCATAGTGACCCTTCAGGGCTCTCTTTCACTACTTTGTTAAACAAGATCCAGAGAGCCCAGCATGGCCTGGCTTTCTTGGGATCCCAAGAGGCTAAATGACCCCAAGAGAGTAAATCAAAAGTCTAGGGCATGGGTAGGCAAACTAAGGCCCAGGGGTTGGATCTGGCCCAATCGCCTTCTCAATCCGGCCCGCAGACGGTCTGGGAATCAGCGTGTTTTTACATGAGTAAAATGTGTCCTTCTATTTAAAATGCATCTCTGGGTTATTTGTGGGGTCTGCCTGGTATTTTTACATGAGTAGAATGTGTGCTTTTATTTAAAATGCATCTCTGGGTTATTTGTAGGGCATAGGAATTTGTTCTTTTTTCTTTTTCTTTTTCAAAATATAATCCAGCCCCCCCACAAGGTCTGGGGGACAGTGGACCAGCCCCCCTTGGTCTAGGGATAAAGGGACAGTCTGTGCAGCCCTTGTTCCAGCCATGCAAGTGAAGCTGAGCAGCCCAATGAGCCTGGCAGGGTGTGCAGAATTGTTCTAGCAATGCCGACAGTGCTGCCAGGTGATGCTTTCTGCAGGAAATTATGTCAGGGTGATCAGGCATGGGTGTTAGTGCAGCGTACACATACCAGTGTGTAAATGATTCGGTTTGTGCAAACGTAGCTGAGGTTAGGTGGGTAAGAACCACAGCTGTTTTCAAAGCCAATAAGAAAGAGCCAGCAGGGCCTACTGGTCTGAGTGTTGAGCTAGGAACTGGTAGAGACTATATTTCGAATCCCCACTCACTGCCTGCACTCCATGTCTGGATCCAACACGCACAGACAAGAAACAGCAGCCAGTCATCCAGGGGTGGATGTGGGAAGCACTACAGATGGCTGAGAAGACACCTAGAGAAGTTACTGCTAAGAGAAGCAACCCATTATCTTTTTTCATATATCATTTTTTAAATATTTTTTTATTATTTTATTTTTATTAAAAGTATTCCAAAACATTTAATGTCATATACAAAAAAATCAACATAAATTTCTTTTTGCCTTCCCACCCCTACTTTCCTGCTGTTTGTTTTTTACTTCTTTTTATTAGCTTTTACAATACATGTGTTCTTATTACATCAACTTCACTATCATGAATTATTTCAGTAATCCATTGCTTATATTTCAGCCTGTTATTGATGGCAGTGCTTCGGCCACCAAGCATTGCTAGAATATTATTATTATTATTATTAATATCATCATCATCATCATCATCATCATCATTATATATTTATGTATAATCCATTTCCCCCCCTGACTGGACTCTAGGCAACTCACAGATAAAAAACAAGAAGCGCTAAAAACATAGGAAAAACAACCATTAAGAAACAATTAAACATAGATATAACTAAAACTATACTTATATAAACTCACTTTAAAACATACATATAATTACAATAAAACAGCAAGAGACCAGCCCTTTATTCTAAAGCAGTCAATTCACCAAAGCCGGTTTGAACAAGAAAGTCTTCTCCTGCCAGTGGAAGGACAGCAAGGAGGGAGCCAACCTGGCTTCTCTAGCAAGAGAGTTCCAAAGTCTGGGAGCAGCCACTAAGAAGCTCCTCTAACACAGCCCCACCAAGCATGTCTGTGAGGGAGGTGGAACTGAGAAAAGGTCCTCCCCAAAGAGCTCAAACCCCGGACAGGTTCATAGGAGGGAATGAACGTCTGGCTTTCAGACAGCTTGCATCTGAGCCGTGTAGACTGCAGTCTAAAAGAACCCTGTTGGCTCATTCCATAGGCCAATGTGGTCCATCATTCTATTCTCACAGTGGCCAACCAGATGCCTATGAGTAGCCTGCAAGCAGGACCCAGATGCAACAGCCCTCTTCCCAACTGCAAACTCCTGAGGGCAGCCAATTCCTGCCGAAAACAAGGCTTGTAATTGGCACCAATCACCAATCAGCTGATCCATGCCAACTGCAAAGCCTGCTAGGATCTGCTGTACTATTGCCCAACTCTGTTCTCTAGATCACTTACGTGCTCAGATGCCTGATTGTCCACTGGGCACTTTGCAGGGTGAGCCTGGAAGGGGCAGTCTGAAGGGTTTGACATAACTGTGTGGTTGCAATGATTCCCTCGAGTAACTTACATATTCCTTGGTCTTCAGGAGGTCAGAAAGATCTCATAGCACTTTAATTTAGACTTGCTTCTTCCTACCCTTCTTTCCCACGACAACAGCAGTCAGTTGATGCTTCAGTTGGTCCTCACTGAATCCTTTGGGTGCACTGCCAGCAGTATGTTACACTGTAGAACATGTTGCGATGCTGAGTGGAGAAAGGAATAGTGGGGGGGGCTTTTAGGTTTTGTGTAAGCGACAGCTTCTCTTCTCTGTAAGAAAGGTTTGAAATGTCACATGGCCTTTGCTGTTTTTATTATTTTAAGGGTATTATAACATACTGTTAATTTGTCTCTTAGAAGTATTTATTACCTTCTCCTCATTGCATAGAACAGAGAAAACAACCAAAAACAGAAACATAAAGCAATATAAATAAAGAAAAATGGCAGAATCTTGGTAACCACAAATTAATAATTCTGTCCTAAGACAAGCAAGCAAAACTACAAGGGGGGCGGGGAGTAAATTCCCAGTTGAATTTTGGCAGAAGTTGAACTTCAGTAGAACCGAAACAGGGCCGCTTGTGACAAATACAGGTCAGAAGGGAAATGGCTGCCTTTTCACACCCACCATTGTGCGCCTTCAGGTATCAGGAAGTCCCTGTCTGGCATCCCCAGGAGCTTCAGTTAGTTGCCTCCCCCAAGCAGCCAACCAGAGAAATGAACCAGTAAGCTTTTGAAAGCACTTGATGATGGTGGGAAATCCACACAGCATTAGCTTAGAGGAAGATCCTCCCCTTCTTCCAAGCTATTGACAGAGATGTTGTCTTCATCAAAGTCAATTCCCTGTCCGTGAGAAAAGAGAGCAAAGAAACAGGAAGGTCAGAGAGTGGGGAATGGATCAGGCCCCCAGGCAGGGATGGATGAATCTCTCACTCTCACTTTCTATCAGTTCCACATTTTTCCGGTTCTCCACATTTCCACTTTAATTTGGGAATTTCTTTTTTCTTTTAAGTGCTAATGAAAATTCACCCACATTTCAGAGTGCGTTTCTCCTAAGATATCCATTTTGTGTGCTATTAAGCCTAAGCTTCACATTTTTGAAAAAGTCACAGGTATCTTGTGATATCTAATATGCTAATATGGACATGGGGCAGGGTGGAGTGGAGAACCTCTTTGCAAAATGGGGACATAGGAGCATCTCAAAGCACATTTCTGTTTGTGTGACCACCCCCCACAAACATCATACCTACATCACAGAAAAGGTGGTCTACAACAGAAATTTGAATGTTGTTGTTTTTCCTGTCTGCCAGGTTATCTGATAATGCCTTATTTGATTGCCTTTCCTGGTAGTCTGTCACCCTTTGAAATGGAGATTCCTAAATTCCTGTAACAAGGAAGGTGTTTTTTCCACCTCCTCCCTCCTTGCAGAGAAACATTTGGTCAGCTTGGGAGTCAAAATGGTTTCAGGACTGTATTCCTGTGCTGCTCCAGACATGTGGTTTGCTTGGTACATTTATGAACACTTATTATAAGACCTTAAAATTTATTATTACAGTGTTGATCTGGGAAGCACAGATGAGGTAGGTCTGCATTAAAATAGAAACAAACTTAAGGTCTCCTCAGAGACCTGATTCATTCATTCATAGCATTTGTACCCCAAAAGGGCTCCCAACAAGGCTTAGTGAAATCAAAAACAAGACACTCCCTAATTGCAGAGTTAAATTCTAATAAAACAAACCAACAAACAGAAATACAGCACACAATGAAAACGGGCAAGGAGAGTGAAGGAAAAGCAAACTCAAAAACCAGGCCCCAATGTCTAGAAGTGCAGTGGTAGCCTGATGAAATGGCTGCCCCCAGATGACAGTTGAGGGAGAGGAGGGCTGATGGAGCTGGCCTGTCTTAGTGTAGAGTTCCGCCAGGCCTCCTGTCTCCCCCTTGTCTGCACTTGGGAGAAGCCTTCCCATCAGGCTGCTCATGCGATCTTTTCTTCCTCTGTTTTTCTCTTTCCCTTTCTAACTATAGTAAACTTAAGTTAATATTCATTATTTAGAAATTTAAGTTAACCCTCTCCTGGATTCACATATATATACAGCATAAAGAATGCTCCGTTTAAAATAATATTCAACCAACTACAATGTAAAGACCAAGATTTCCTTTACAGCATTCATTCTTCCCTTCCATAAACTTGCCCAAAGCTCAACACTTTCTTTGACCTCTGATAGCTCTTTGCCAAACTTGGTGATACCACTATTCAATGTTCTATTTGAGTCTACTTGAAATGGCAACGTTCCCTTACCTCCAGGAGTCTTTCAGATGCCATATTCTAATCCAAGAAAGTGAGGGTCACTAAACCAAACCTCTGCAAAGGTCTATACGCTGAGGATGCAAGAACCTCAGTTCAAACGGTCGCAGGCTCTGTTGCTGGGCAACAGCCCTTGGTGATGTGGAATGCACCATGCCAAGATTCTAGAAGAGTCAGTGTGGCATAGTGGTTAAAACAAATTTAATTCCATGCACTTCAAAGGTGGTATATATTCTTTTAAATGTATGGTAGTAATAGTAGTAGCGATAATAAGTTTTTAAAAAACAAACAAACTTATTTTCCGGCTTTTCAGACAGATGTTGTCTCCTAAACCAGTTGACACTGATTTTTAAAAAAGGCGAGACAAATCCTGTCCTCAGGTTTGGAAACTAAAAAATACAAGACACACAAATAGAAGGGATGTGGAGGAACAAGGTGCAGAGGAAGAACACAGGCAGCCCTGTTCAGGGAAGTTTTTAATGTGTGACATCTCAGTGTATTTTTTGTCTTTGTGGAAGCCGCCCTGAGTGGCTGGGGAAACCCAGCCAGATGGGTGGGGTACAAATAATAAATTATTATTATTATTATTATTATTATTATTATTATTATAAGTCACAAGGCCTTGCTGACCTTCCCTCACCCAAAGCTATGTTTGGATAGAACTGCAGCAACTGAACCAGTAGCTCTTCACCCCCAACTTCAAGGGGCCTGTGGGGCTCAAGCCACCCTCAGATTCCCCAGAGGGGCTTATCTGGGACTCACAGGGAGCAGGAACTGGCAAGCAGACAGACAGGCTCACCTTTGTCACGGCCATCCAATGGCTTGATGTGGACTCCCATAACTTCAAGGCGGAGACTCTTATCTCCTACACTTACAGCACTTTACCTCCACTGCTGTGCTGTGGAACTGCTTGATGAACTCTTGCAGCAAGTGGGAGATGTCCAAGGGGTTAAAGGTGCTCTGAACAGCAAGGTCACTGGCTATAAAGTACATGGCCTTAAAGAGCTGCTCCACAGGAAGGAAGCCACCTGAAACAAAAGAGGAAGGTAGAAGGTGCCCACAGGGCAGGGCTGAGGAGCAGAATGCCCAGGTGCCTTTTCTGCAGAATTCAGAACATGTGGGTTGACACCAACTTACTCTGTGAAGAGCAATTGTTGATGAACAATGTAGGAATCGGTGCTCCAGCTGCATCTAAGACACACTGAGTTCTTATTATCAGTGTTCAGTCCCAGCATCTCTGCAAAGGAAAGGCTAAGCATTAGTTAGGGTTCTACCACCCTGGGAGAGATAGGAACAGCACTTTTAGACATTGGGGCCTGGTTTTAGAATTTCCTTTTCCTTCGCCCTCCTTGCCTCCTTTTCATTGTGTGCTGTATTTCTGCTTGTTGGTTTGTTTATTAGAATGTAAGTCTGCTACTCTCGAATATCGTTTCTTTGAACCTCTTGTAGGGTGGACTAAACTCGGCTCCAATTTTATGAAATATCCTATTATCCTGGAGACTGTTAAAGCACCTATAAAAATCTGAAGAAGTATCTGAAGAAGTGTGCATGCACATGAAAGCTCATACTAATAACAAACTTAGTTGGTCCCTAAGGTGCTACTGGAAGGAATTTTTTTATTTTGTTTTGACTACGGCAGACCAACACGGCTACCTACCTGTGACTATAAAACCCTACTCAACAGGAAGAAATAAGATTTAGTATATGACAGACAAAAATGGAGTGAAGAATTAGGGGTACAGATAACAAATGATATATGGGAGTCAAGTATAAAATCAACAGAAATAGCCTCTACGGATCTAAAACTAAGACTTATTCAACAGAAAATAATATTCAGAGTCCACTGGACTCCAGCAAAACTATACCAGAAGAAAACAACAAGTGCAGACAACTGTTGGAGATGTGGGAGTAAAACTTATTACAGATGTTGATTAACTGCCCAATGATAAGATAATTTTGGTGCAAGGCAAGGATATTTATAGCAAGAGTAATAAAAAGAAATTGTTATTTAGTGGAACTGAATTTAATTCTAAATTATATTCCAGAAACGTGGGAGATTTCAAGGGGTCAAAAAAAAATATGGATGTACTGTGCTATATTAGAAGCAAAAAAACTTGTTTTGATGAACTGGAAGAGCCGCAAAAAGATTCCATTGAGCACATGGATTGGTAATATGGACAGATTAGCTACATACGAACCAATTGCATGTCGACACAAAATAAGAAAGGATGAATATGAAGAAATTTGGAACGAATATTTAAGCGATAAGGTGGATAGTGGTGGGAAGTAGGGGGAGGAGAGAGAGGTGGGAAAATATAGTTTAAAAAGGTGTAGTTGTAGGTATATCAGTGTATTCAAATCTGAATTGTCAAATTGTGTTATTATTGTTTATAGTTTTTGTTGTATGTGTCCCTTGTGGTTGATGTCTGTATCGAAAAAACGATTAAACAATTATTATTTTTTAAGTCTGCAAGTAGGCAGTGTCTTGTTTTTTATTTCACTTACGCTCACAGGCCAGTGTTTCCCAGCTGTCAGTGTTTATACTACATTTTTTTAGATTTGCCCTGAGAGTCTTTAAACCATTATACAGGGTTTTTTTTTCAACTGGCGGGTGGTGCTGTGGTCTAAACCGGAAGACCAGCGGTTTGAATCCCTGCAACGGGGTGAGCTCCCGTTGCTCAGTCTCAGCTCCTGCCAACCTAGCAATTCGAAAGCACGTCAAAGCGCAGGTAGATAAATCGGTACCGCTCCAGCGGGAATGTAAAAGTCGTTTCCATGTGCTGCTCTGCTTTCACCAGAAGCGGTTTACTCATGCTGGCCCCATGACCCGGAAAAACTGTCTGCGGACAAACGTTGGCTCCCTCAGCCAGTAAAGCAAGATGAGTGCCGCAACCCCAGAGTCGTTCGCAACTGGACTTAACTGTTGGGTCCTTTACCTTTTTTTTTTTTACAGGGCTTTCAGATGCCATATTCTAATCCAAGTGTTATAAGAATTCGATGGTCCCAAATATAAAATAAACGTTCATAAATGTACAAGGCAAAAACATTTATAAGTATATAAACCACACGTCTGAAATAGTACAGGAGAACAATCCTGAAGTCATTTTGACTCTCCCAAACTATTTTGACTCTCCCAAATTGACCTCAAATATTTCTTTGCAAGGAGGAAGAAAATGGGGAAACTTCTCCATTGTCTTTTCCTTATCTGTCTTAAGGGAATATCTGTGTATGAATCGGGTTAGCCTGTGACCTGGATTCAGGAACTAAAAGTATTTACCATCACAAAAGAGTGGCCAGGCATCCAGGTAAAGCAATCAGTGTCTGTTAACAGATATCTTCGCAAACAGGATTTCTGCTGTAAACCGCCTCCTGTGATGTATTTCTGCTGTAGACCCGCCTCCTTCTGTGATGTATGTATGATGTTTTGGGGGGTGGTCTTGAGCAACAGGGTGGGCAATTTCAAAAGTCTATATAAGAGCTTGCACACCATTGTTCAGGGTTCCTCCTCTCTCCTGTGTGTGGTGAGTGAGGACCCTGCTGCAACAGTTCAGGCTTACTAGCTTACAGATCAGGCTTACAGATCAGAGCTTACAGCTTACAGGCTTACTAGCTGCTTTGCATCTCAATATTCTTTGGTTGGCCTCTATTATTTTGTCCTACCAATAGGGGACTCTTAGATACCCCATAAGGGAAAAGGAGCAGGTTTTTTCATATAACACAAGGAAGCAAGGGTCAATAAAGCAAACCTCTGCAAAGGTCTACACGCTAAGGATGCAAGAACCTCAGTTCAAACGGTCACAGGCTCTGTTGCTGGGCAACAGCCCTTGGTGATGTAGAATGCACCATGCCAAAATTCTAGGAGGGTCAGTGTGGCTTAGTGGTTAGAACAAATTTAGTTCCATGCACTTCAAAGGTGGTATATACAGTATTCTTTTAAATGTACAGTAGTAATAATAGTAGCAATAATAAGTTTTTTAAAAACCAAACTTATTTTCCGGCTTTTCAGACAGATGTTTTCTCCTAAAGCAGTTGAGTTGACACTGATTTTTTAAAAAGGCGAGACAAATCCTGTCCTCAGGTTTGGGAACTAAAAAATACAAGACACCCAAATGGAAGGGATGTGGAGGAACAAGGCGCAGAGGAAGAACACAAGTCACAAGGCCCAAGGAAAGGCTTAAGATATCCGCAAGTAAGTCAGAACCTGCTAGGGTCAAGCTGACCTTCCCTCACCCATAGCTGTATTTTGGATAGAACTGCAGCAACTGAACCAGTAGCTCTTCACCCCCAACTTCAAGGGGGCTGTGGGGCTCAAGCTCCCCTCAGATTCCCCAGAGGGGCTTATCTGGGGCCCACAGGGAGCAGAAACAGCAAACAGACAGGCTCACCTGAGGGGCTTGGTTCCCACACTATTATATTACAGGTTCCGGGATTGTGTGTTTATTGAGATTTTATATCCTGCCTCAAAGGGCCTGTTGCCCTCACAAGGTGACTCCCTCCTGAACCCTGACACCACCCACTTTCCCTGGAGCAACAGGCAGCAAGGCTTCTGCATTGCCCCACAGACCCCAGATGTCTAAAGAAGACTGAACTGGGGAGTCAAGAGCCTCCCTAGTAGTAAATACAACCTTCTGTGGTGAATCCTCCAGGATAAAAAAGAGCCCCCTCAGCTCCACCAGAAGTTGAGCCCGCCCTGTCCTTAATGCTGGGTGATTGACGCTCCAGGCCAGCCAATAGTGGAGCAGCAGCCTTGAGAAAAGGAAGAAGTTCAGCAAGGAGTCCATTTAGCACTGTGGCCAGGCATTCTGGGGAAGGGGGGGTATTATTATTTTTTGATCCACCACCTTTTTATCATTAGTGTTTTGTCCCAGAAGCAGCAACTCTGGTGTGTGTGAATACAACTGATCCCTGATTAGGTGTCCTTTGTTAATCCTGCCAACTCCTGACTATAAAAGCTAACCATTAAACTGAAACTGACACAGGGACAAATAGAAGAGGACGCCTTCACCCCAGTATGGCTCTCCTTTGTCGCTTACCCAATAAGACAAGAATCCCCCAACAGCATACGATTCAATATGGCTGACCTGATCCAACAATCCCTCCCCCCCACCACACAAATGCAAACAAACCGCACTGTAGCCAACTAAAGACAACCAACTAGGCCCTGCCCCCCCATACCTCTCACTACCAAGGAAATGTAATAAGCGAATAGAAAGAGAATCTACCTAGTTGACATGGACAAGCGTACACTATATAAAATAATATGTTTCACCACACCACTCTTCCTCTCCCCCCTCTTCTCCGACCTTACACTGTACTCAACACTAATGTCTCACATCAAATGTAACCGATCTGTAGAAAAGAGTTTACAACCTGAAGAGACAATGCATGTATTTTTGTAAACCAAGAAAATCTTTTGAGGAAAATTATTTAAAAGCTTCCATAATAATAATTGTTATGTATTGGGTTTAACACATTTTATTTTACAAGGCGCGTTCTAACCAATCGTATAAGTGTTGGTAGACGAACGTTCTAATGGCAAGTAAGCACATGCACTTTCAACTGTCAACGGCCAACGGTCAATTCATTGCTCAGGTTCGTTATTGTCCAGTCAGTTTGGTTCTTGTGTTCCTATGAGTGAGCTGTTGTTACTGACAAATGTTGAATAAACTTAGTTGAGGAACTTATACTGCCTTGGGCTTCTGACTTTTTCCAAATATGTAACATTGGCGATGAAGGTGGGATTGATGAGCTCCCGCCGGCTGCCAGAGGCCCAAGACTGCACCGCAGCACCGCTGCCTGCCGCCTCGCAGTAAGTGCGACCTCACCGCCACGCTGGACTCAGCAAATAGTCCTGGAAACAAGACCGCGCCTGCCGCGTCTTCGCAACCACCCACAATTGCACAAGCGACTGCCCCAGGTCCGAGGATTGCTACCAGTCATAGTCGGCAGCCACTGGACTTCGATATGAGCCATCCTGCAGAATGGCCGGTGGCTCCGCCGAATAAGGAGCTAGGTCCGACTACAAGGCATCACTAGGGAGGCAGACAAGGCAGATGTGCTACTGATGGTGCTGGGAAGTTCCGCCATCACTCTACTGGAAGGTCTGGTGGCACCCAGGGACATGGAGGCATGCACTTTCGATGAGCTGACAAAGGCTATGACAAGACACCTCGTGCCTCAGCCAACTAAGAACCACCGCCGCTATGACTTTGCACACAGAGAGCAACAAGCACAAGAGTCAGCGAGTGAATACATCACAGCGCTCTGGGCGATTGCGATGTATTGCCAATTCGCTGACATCGAGGAACGACTTGTTGAAAGGTTCATCAGTGGCGTGTGAGACAGCCGTCTCTGCCGCAAGCTGCTGGCAAAAGACGACATCACAATGATGGAAGTATGAATATGGCCACGGCCTTTGAGAGGCGGCCCACAGCCCCCGTACCAAAAGAAGAACTCGCCGCATCCAGCGAGACCGGTTGTCTTCTGTAGATTCCCACAATGAGGATGTCTACTGAGCTTTGGACCAATCCAACCGACACCACCGCTCCCAAGCTACGAGCGCATCATTGAACCAGCGGTCATCTGACGCACCTTGAGGGACCTGCTCCAACTGCGGAGAAAACCATGAGCGTCGGACATGCAGGTTTGGGGATATCACATGTTGCCACTGTGGGAAGACTGGGCACATTGGTCGAGTCTGCCGCTCCAAGACCTCTGTAGCATGACCCAAGCAATGTGTCCACGAGGCCTACATAGAGGAGGAGTTACAGTCCACCTCTCCAGCCAGGGTACTTCAACTTCCTTCCCTGGGGTCCAATAAGCTTAGGGTACATCTCAAGATAGAGGCCCACTACCCTCCTTGATTGTATGCACCCCGACCGGGCTCTTGAGCAATGGCCATCCACTGTGGTGCGGGGGGCTCCAAGAGGGTTCTCCCCGGGGGACACCGTGTACATCCGAAACTATGGGTCTGGACAGGATTGGCTCCCTGGTATCATTGCCCGCTGTACAGATCCAGTTTCCTACAAGGTAGGGTTGGAGGGGGAACTGGTTTGGAAGAGACACCTCGACCAGATCAGAGCCAGGGCACCTCCGAATACAGAACTTCAAGTGGAACCAGAGGACAGAGAAATGGGTACTTCAGGAGATTCTGTGCCCAGGCCAGGGCGGGAACCAGATGGGTTGCCAGTGACTGAGTTACCCCAGCAGGGCGACTTCAGGCTGGAATCCTCAGTGGCTCCATCGGCAGTGACCCCTTCGGAGCCGGCCTCGGCCTCGCTGACCACCCCACTCAGACCGCAGGTACCGGAGGAACCTCCTGGGTCACCCACTCGGGCACAGGAACCGCGACGGTCCCAGCGGGAGCGGAAAAGGCCAGCACACCTTGATGACTATGTTTGTTCCTTTTGTTAGGAAGTTGGGGGAAGGAGTGTTATGTATTGGGTTTAACACATTTTATGTTACAAGGCACGTTCTAACCAATCGTATAAGCGTTGGTAGACAAACATTCTAATGGCAAGTAAGCGCATGCTCTTTCAAATGTCAACTGTCAACGGTAAATTCTTTGCTCAGGTTCATTATTGTGTTGTCCAGTCAGGTTGGTTCTTGTGTTCCTATGAGTGAGATGTTGTCACTAACAAATGCTGAATAAACTTAGTTGAGGAACTTATACTGCCTTGGGCTTCCGACTTTTTCCAAATATTTAACAATAGTAGTAGTAGTAATAATCCTGCCGATTACGGTAATTGTTTTTGAAAGATGCTCCCCCGCCCCTGTTCTCATATACAGAACTAAATGCCTATTTTATGATGGCACCTACAATTGTTAGAATTGGTTGTGGCGGGGTTCCCCCCCCCCCCCAAAATCAGCATTTTTATGACTTCAAAAACAGGACAAATTGGGGGCCAAATGGGACAGGAAACTCTGTGCCCCCCAAATGGGATTGTCCTGTACAGTGGTACCTTGGGTTAAGTACTTAATTCGTTCCGGAGGGATGTTCTTTTTTTTTTTTTTTTAAATAATCTTTATTGCTTTTAAAACTTACAAGAAAAGAAGAAAGAAGAAAATAGGAGAAAGAAAAAGACAAAATAGAGCAGAGAAGAAAAAAAAAAGAGAAAGAAAAGAAAAAACAATACAATACAATACCATAAACAATACAAAACACAACCTTAACACACTAAACTAAACAAAGCAAAAGAACAACAATTTAAAAACATATATCATACCATTTCATTACTCTATCTTTCATTCCCTTATTTCATCGACCTCCTCTCACCTCCCTTTTTGTATTCCACTTCTATTACTTGTTTCAGCAATTCCTTTCCATCTTTCTCTATTTTTATCATTATGAATATCTTAACATATTTTGTACCTTATTTTCCATTAATACTGAAATACTTATTTATACCTAACTCCTTATAACATTTCTGCTAAAGCCATAAAATTTCATTCCAACAATTTTCTAACACTCATTAAATTTACAATATTTCTATATATAAACTTTAAACTTTCCCAATCTTCTACCACCATCTCTTCTCCCTGGTCTCAGATTCTGCCAGTCATTTCCGTCCATTCCATATAGTTCATCAACCTGGAGATCTTCTGTCCGAGGCTCTTAAATCTTTTCCCAGTCCCTTCTGCAGTTTTTCTTCATATTCTTTGATGCTGAGGGTGCTGAAGCGCAGGCTGTTCTTAACCTGAAACTGTTCTTAACCTGAACCACCACTTTAGCTAATGGGTCCTCCTGCTGCTGCCGCGCTGCCGGAGCACAATTTCTGTTCTCATCCTGAAGCAAAGTTCTTAACCCGAGGTACTATTTCTGGGTTAGCGAAGTCTGTAACCTGAAGCGTATGTAACCTGAAGCGTATTGTCAGGGATCTGCCATCGGAAGGAAGGGAGGTGAAAGGACTCAGACAGGTTGGAAGAGACTCAGCAGCTGAAGAGGGAACCAGCAAGGGGAGAGAAGCTGAACTGAGGGAGGTGAAAGGGCTCAGACAGGTTGGAAGAGACTCAGCAGCTGAAGAGGAAACCAGCAGGGGAGAGAAGCTGAACTGAGGGAAAGGGAGCTGGGGGATGGCTCAGAGATACTTCCAGCGAAAACAGTGGTGAGGTTTCCGGACCTCCTGTAGGGACACCCACTCCTCGCCGGAAACTGTCACGCAGAGAGTCCAGAAGACGTGTTTCCGTTAAGGAGCTTTTATGTTGGAAGCGATTACGAAAGCAACCACTGTCGGAATCTTCTAGTGACTAGAGGAGCGGGCTCAGTCACAGACAGAGGTTTGTGGACTTGAACAAACTCTGAGGGAATACGATTTTACGCACAAGCAGCTCATCTTCCCATCACAGCATTCCGACAGTCTCTGAACGCAGCTTGTGCAGGAGAAGGCATAATGAGCAACCCAGCAGGAACCGGAGAAGCAGGGGCTGGAGCGGGTCCAAGCCTGGAAGAAAGGTACCGGGTGTTGGAGGTCCAGCTGGCGCTGCAGACGGCGAGGCTGGAGGAGAGGAGGGCTCAAGATGCAGACAAAGGGAGAAAGCCACCCAGCTCGCCAGAAAGGTACCAGGATTGGTGCAGAAATTTGGGGGGGAGCCCAAAGACTATCATAGCTTTCGGACAGAAATGCAATATGCCCTCAATCTGCAGTTTGATGATTTCCCTGATGAGGAATCACGAGTGGCTTTTGTGATTGGGCATCTTGAAAAGGGGCGAGAGACTGGGTTAGACCCCTGATGGCAGCGCATAGTGACGTCCTAAAGGACACGATGAAGTTCTTTCGCGCCATGGATCTGATGTTTTCCAGCGATATTGAAAAGGGAGTGGTGCGCAGACAGTTAATGGCTTGCAAACAGGGGAGCCGATCTGTACGTGAGTACTGGACTGAGTTCACCATGCTGATACACAGATTGGGGTGGGACTTATCGGCGGAACCCATTCAAATGCTCTTTGAAGAAGGGCTTTCTTCGGCTGTGAAAGATGAACTTTCCCGGGCGCCCAGGGCGGAGTCTATGGACCAGCTGACCAAATCAGCGCTGGCCATAGGAGCGCGCCAGGAGGCGAGAGCATTGGAGAGGCGGGAAGGGAAGGGGAACATTGGAAGGAGTTCCGCATTCCAGACATTCCAGAGCCAACTTTCCCGCCGGCAGAGCCGATGGAAATCGGAACAGCGCGCGCGCGCAGTTTCAAAGCCCAGTGAGGGGGAAAAAGGAGGGAAAAGGTGCCCGGAAATGCTATCTCTGCCAACAGCCAGGGCACTTTGCCAGAGTCTGCCCCCAGAGGAAGGAATGGCAAGGGATGGTGGGAGCTGTGGAGGGAAGAGAGGAAAAGTACCGGAGCAACTAAAAGCCAACGCCTGGCTGCCATTGTCGGGGCACAGCAGCCAGGCCAAAGAGCAGTGAAAGTGCCCACGCCAGAACCTCCTAAACCCGCCCTAGTGATAGAAGTGACACTAGAGCTGCCAAACGGACACCCTCTAAAGATAAAGGCGCTGTTGGACTCAGGCAGCTCCTGCAATTTCATGAGCAAAGAGTTTGCAGCTGAACACCAGATACAGACGCTCCCTTTAAGCAACCCCCTGCAGGTAACCACGATCGATGGCAGGGAGCTGTTGGGAGGAGAAGTCAGCTTGCAGACCGTCCCAATGATAATGAAGGTGGCAAGGCACACCGAACTAATAGCGTTTAATGTGGCCACCTTGGGAGGAGCTCCCATTATATTGGGGATGAGCTGGCTAGCGTTACATGATCCGCTGGTGGGCTGGCATCAAAGAGTGGTTTCTTTTGGGTCAGCACATTGCTTAGAACACTGCAAAGAGGGAAAGGTTTTGGCAGGGGCCCAAGCCACCCTAGCAGGGACTGAAGTAACGGAGAACGTGAAGGTACCACGACAATACGCAGATCTCCGCGACGTCTTCAGCGAAAGGGAAGCTGACCAACTACCACCGCATAGAGCCTTTGACTGTCAAATCAATTTGCTCCCTGGGGCACAGCTCCCTGTGGGCAAGCTGTACGCCATGTCAGACAGAGAGATGCAGGAGCTAAGAGAGTTCATTGACAAGAACCTGAAGAGAGGGTTCATCAGAGAGTCCAGGGCGGTGGGGGGCAGCCCAGTGTTTTTTGTGGACAAAAAAACACGAACAAGCCGAGACTGGTGTGTGACTTCAGGGCCTTAAATGCAGTGTCAGAACCAGTGGCCTTCCCGATGCCCAGGATTGACGACATTTTGACAAGGGTGCGGAAGGGAAAGATTTTCACCAAGCTGGATCTAAGGGGGGCGTACAACCTGATACGAATAAGGAAGGGGGATGAATGGAAAACCACCATGTTCACCCCTTTAGGGGCATTTGAATACTTAGTTATGCCCTTCGGTCTACAAGCAGGCTCCGCAACATTTCAATCGTTTATGAACCACGTCCTGGGGCCGTTGCTTTACAAGAATTGTGTGGCCTTCTTAGACGACGTGTTGGTGTATTCTGAGAATGAGGAGCAGCATGTGAGAGACGTCAGAGAAGTGTTGAGCAGGCTGCAAGCCAACCAGCTGTGGGTGAAACTGGAGAAGTGTCAGTTTCATACCAAGGAGGTGGAATTCCTGGGGTATCGCCTGTCTGACAAGGGGTTGGCCATGGATCCCGGCAAGGTCCAGGCGGTACTGGAATGGAAAACACCCAAAACAAGGAAGGATGTGCAGAGGTT